CATAATGTTATCAATTGGCATCCGTCCTCAGGCAAACGGAGACAAAGTCCTGAGTAAAGTGTTGCCTGACATTGGGAAGGTGTTCAAGCTGGAGGTTTTGTTGGAGCAACACCCTGACAATCTGTACCAGGAGCTGGTGGGAAATATGGAGCAAATGGGGGAGTGGAACCCTAACGTCAAACAGGTTAAGGTATGAGAGATACAGCGCAAGGGGTTGGAATTAGGGTTGCAATTTAAGATCACCTTTATTAACGAGTAATCTGCCAAATTATTTTCAAGATTAGTAAAACAATTGTTTAGTATAATAGTCAAAAAATATTGAAAAATGTCCATCCCATTCAAGGAAACATCTTGAAATGACTAGTTTTCGTCTGCTGTTTTAAATTCAGTTTAAAATTTCAATACAAATACCAGACAAATATATCATATATATGCAAGGAAACAGATAGATTTTCACAATGTTGTTCAACAGATCCTTCAAAAGATCGGCCAGGACACAATGGTTACCCATGAGGTCGCTGCAGAGACCCCTGGAAATGTGGTGGGGCCGAGGGACTTTGTCAGCGTCCGCTGTGCCAAGCGCCGTGGCTCCTCCTGCTTCCTGGCAGGAATGTCCACTCAGCACGCGAAAATGCCCGAGCAGAGGGGGGTGGTGAGGTAAGTGCCCACATCGTTTATTTGTTGTGATATCTGCATGCATCATATTACATTATTCATGTAGCCTACCATGAGTGGAGTATGTTATGTATCTATGTCTACCACTAGTTTGCAATGGAGTAATGGGAATACCGTACGACTTTTACATTTAAATCATCCTATTTTTAAGAGCGGAGAATGGACCCACCTGTATAGTCATGAAGCCCTGTGCTGAAGACCCAAATAAGACCAAGTTCACCTGGTTACTCAGCATAGATCTAAAGGTAAATACCTGCCGTGTCTACCTTTGTATTTCCCACAGTAACCACAGTGATTACCATTAAAATAATACAATAATTAAGATTTAAAAACCAGATCTAACACAGTCTTTGTCATCTGCAGGGCTGGATCCCGAAGACGATCATAAACAAGGTGCTCTCTCAGACGCAGGTGGACTTTGCCAATCACCTCCGGCAACGGATGGCTAATAACGTTTCTATGGAGATGGCTCATGCCTGCTGACACAAAGCGCCTCTTGAGCTTTGGCACAGTGCGCTCAACAGTGGCAGAGGAGCAACCCCTGCTCATTAAAAAATCATAGAAATCTGCTCACAACTGCTGTACCACTACGCAAATCAAGAATGTATCAAAGGAGATCGGATGAAGATGATGCTTGTCTGAGATCTTAGGAAAATATGTTGGTTTCAATTGGAAATTGTGTGTTTTTCATACCCTTCTTAATAGATAATCTGTCATAAACGTGTGTAGTGAAACGTTGAATAAACGGCACATTGTTTCCATCTGATAATAACCCCCCCACTTGTTGTCCTTCCTCTGCTGAGAAATTGCCCCTTTATTTTACTGTTTTATTTATTGATGTTGCGCTGATGCCATTACAATGACCGCAAAGAAAATAAACAATTGCAAAGTCATTGGTGTTTATGTTTTTATGCTTTTTTATTATGCTGTTTAGTTAATGATTAATCTCTCCTTTCCTGAAGCATGGGAAGAACCTTAATAAAAGCTCATAACACATTTCAATGGTTAAGCTTAACTAAAAAGATAAAGAATAAAAAAACACAAAAAATTACTGAAATTCTTCTCCTATAGGAAAGAAAATTCACAAGCAAAACTGAAAACCAAGAACTGATCTTAGAAACTAAATAGCAACTGCACAATCATTCCACTTTGACAGGAAGGAGATGTATACATTCAAAGTATATTTTTCAAATCATGAGATACATGGCTTGTCTTCCTGTTCCAAGATGGGTTTTCAGACTGAAATTTTGCCAAAACGAGCAGGTGTTTGGCAATTCAGATGTGTAAGAAAACCCAGCAGCGAGCATTTTGTCGTTCAGAGCCAGCAGCACATTCCCCAAGATCGAGTAACGTGGATTTCATCCCAAACAGGAAATCTGTCTTCCATTAATGCAAGTTGTATAACCTTTTTTTCTATTTTGTGTGTCGATCCAAAAGGTTTTGCAACAGCTAATTGTTCTTACATGCATAGTGCAGAGGAATAGATGTCTCACTTTATGTCGCACTTGCTAAAGTTGAAATATGAAGTGAGCTGACTGTAACCTGGTAGGCTGTTATATATTCATTTTCTGAATTAAGGCCTAAAGCTCCTTACACACCAAGCCGATTTTCGGCGTCGATAGATGTCGATAGATGTCGGGCCATCGATGAGCGTCGTGTCGCCCTACTCAGATTGGTGTGTACTGCACCGTCGTGTCTTATCGGCCGTGCCGACACCTTCCGCCGCCGATTCGACATGTTGAATCGGGAGGCCGTTCCGTCGGGACGTGTTCTTTGGTGTTCTTTGGTGTTCTTTGGTGTCAGTTTGGTGTGTAATGGCGCATTTCCATTACACGGCCTCGCTCGGCCTCGCTCGGTATGGCTAGGCCTCGTTAGGCCTTGTTAGGACTGGCTCACTTTATGGCGCATTTCCATTACAGTTTAGGAACTGGGGTAGTATCTATAGTAACGCAGTGTAGGCGGAGCCGTGATGTCATCTTCAATGCGAAACACAAAACCAACATCAGCTGTTAGCTGTTAGCCCTCAGAGCTCACAGCTCCTCATATCTGTTCAGAAACTAGACAAAAGTTAAACAAGTACAAACCACAGACTGTTCATCTTGTTGTAGTTGCTCTAGTTTAGCTAGCATACTCAGCCCGACTCAGCCTGGTTGTTCCTGGCCCTAGAACCACGATTTTATGGGGCCAGAAAAACTGTGAATTAGGACCCGCTAGCCGGTACTAGGCCAAGTGGAAACGCAACCAAAAACGGGCCCCGCACGGCTCGGCACGCTTAAAGCGAGCTCCGCGCTGCAGTGGAAACGGGCCATAAGAGGCATAAAGGTCCTTACACACCAAGCCGATTTTCGGTGTCGATAGATGTCGATAGATGTCGGGCCGTCGATGAGCGTCGTGTCGCCCTACTCAGATTGGTGTGTCTTGGTGTGTACTGCACCGTCGTGTCTTTTCGGCCGTGCCGACACCTTCCGCCGCCAATTCGACATGTTGAATCGGGAGGCTGTCGGCTAAAGGCCGTCGGCCAAAGAAATCACTCTGATTGGCTGTTCAGCTTAGCGAATCAGTGCATGAGAAGCGAAACGGAAGTGAGGGACCCAAACAAACTATTAAGAAGGCAAATCTGAGATTTAATTTAACTCCAGCTCTCGACACAGGTTCGGGAAAGCCCCATGAGCTTCTCGCTGTAGAGTGAAAATGGAACGCACACGCTATTTGTTGTTTGTTTATATCACGCAGTCTGTTCTTCTTCTCTCGGTTATCACGCAGTCTGTCTTCCGGTTGTTGCCTCTTTTGAATGACGAATACACACTACCGCCACCTGCTGGTAAGGAGAGTTATACGAGTTTGTACGTGCAACTTGGCCGTCGGCTGAAGTCTTTGCGGTGTGTTCCAGTGCGAAACATGGCCAAGAAGCAGGAGACGTGAGGCGACGTGAGGCGACGTGAGGCGACGTGAGGCGACGTGAGGCGACGTGAGGCGACGTGAGGCGACGTGAGGCGACGTTCCGTCGGGACGTGTTCTTTGGTGTTTAGATAAATGTGCACTTTGGTTGATCCTGACTCCATTTTCCTCTAAATAATACAAATTTCAGCAGAATAGTTCAGAGGGCTGCCTTGTGCAATGCAAAAACAAACATTGTTTTTGCCCTGAAAGAATGTTCAACAGGGTAACAATTGACATCTGCTTATTATCCCTCAAAATCTGAACACAAGCAGATGTGAGGAGAGTTGTTGCCACTTTTTAGATCTTGTTCCATTATTTGTGAAAGGGAGAGGAGTGGAGAAAATCTGGGGTAGGAATGGAAATATGATCCACTGCCGAATACGTTGTATAATAAGAACAGGAAGACAAAACATGCTATTTGGCAATCACATCAAATCCCTGGCACTGATGACAGCCCTTATTAAATCTCTGTTTCTTTGACTGAAATCCATCTCCAAACAACAGCTTTTATTTATTTGAGCAGAGGTGGAAGAAGTACTCAGATCTTGTACTTAAGTAAAAGTTGATGCACTATTTTTTCCTGTTTTTCTGTTTTATTGTGTTTTACTGTTGGAGGAGCCTGTGACCTAAGATTTTCATCGTCATAACTACACTGTAGCTATGTTCGTATGACCAATAAAAGCCTTGAACCTTGAACCTTGTTGAAGTACCAGAGTGTAGGAATACTCTGTCTGGTACAAGTAAAAGTCCTGCTATCAAAAGGTTACTCAAGTAAAAGTACAAAAAGTATTAACATCAAAATACACTTAAATTAATAAAAGTAAAAGTACTCATTATGCAGATTGGCCCATTTCAGAAAAATGTGTTTTGATTGTAATTATTGATTCATTTAAGAGTTATCAAAGCTAAACTAATTTGTGAATTAGTGGGGTAGAAGCACAGTAAAATGTGTAAATATTCAAGTAAAGTGCAAATCCCTCAAAATGTTACTTGAAAACAGTACTTGGTTAAATCTACTGAGTAACTTTACATCGCTGCTTTTGAGGAACAAGTAATTGCACTTTATAAGCTTTCTGGAGAAATTGGTTTAAAAAAAAATGTGTACTATAAATCATTTTATGTTGAATATATTCATACTTTTCTCTTTACTGTATTTTAACAAGAAGAGAATCTGTGCTGAAGGGAGGTGTGGAAGGAAAAGGAGGTAACACAACTCTCCTGTCTTCAATATCTGTGAGAGAGAGAGAGAGAGAGAGAGAGAGAGAGAGAGAGAGAGAGAGAGAGAGAGAGAGAGAGAGAGAGAGAGAGAGAGAGAGAGAGAGAGAGAGAGAGAGAGAGAGAGCAATGACGTAATGAAGTTGCAGTCCGACAGGGAACCACAATTCCCATGATGCATTTGAAATTACCGTGGCCACTGGACGGGGGAAGGGAAGCTGAGATTGGAGGGAGAAACAGTCAGAAACTGAGGTACTTTTAAAACCCTTTATAATATCTTGTAATATTTTCGGATATGCCATAGCACGCAGTGTTTTGTAGCGTTTTTTAAATCTGCCTTGGAAACAAAAGCAGTTTAATCCGTATGGTGCTGTCGGATTTGGGACTCCATCCCCGTTACAGTTCAATAGAGCTACAGCTAGCCCGTTAGTTAGCCTGACAGCTGGCTTTTCTTCTGTTAGCTACGTCTCAGCTACTTCAGTGCACTTGATATTCATGACATTTAACATGAGTTGTTTTTTCTTATGTGTTTTCTAAGGGCTGTTTTGCATGCAGGTTTTGCAAGCAGTGATTTCTCTGTGTGAGGAGAAGCTGTAGCTGCGTCTTTGTGCCTGCGGGGTTGCTACTGTAGCTGACATATTGCTAGTTGTCGGTTGCTATCATAATGTAAGCTAGCCGAGGTAGCTGTCAAAGCGGCGATGTGTTCAACTGTCATCGGATAAAGTTGGACTTTTTCCAACATTTTCAGATGTATGTCCTGGCTCTGAGCATGGACTCTGCAGTGCTGGACTTTGACAGTAAACTATAACACATTTTAGGCATAAAAAAAAATCTTGCTGTGATTCAGACAGTAATGGAGGAAGTCCTCAGATCCTCTCTTGAGTAAGAGTAATATTTCTGTACTGTAAAAATACTCCATTACAAATCAAAGTCATGCATTTTAAATATTTCAGCAGTTATATTATTTAATATGTTTTAATATACAACTTGTACTGTACATAGTTATTTCCATTTAATGTGTTATAGTAGTACAATGTATTCGTTTTATTGTACTGCATTGCACACATTTTAAAGGGTCACACTTAAATGTCAAAAATTAAAGTACGTAATGGAAAACAAAAATGTGTCTTTTACAGTTGAATAATTCAATTATTGATAACATCAAATCAGCTATTTATTGTTTGAGATAATTTGTTTGACGATTTAACATGCTAATGATATTTTAATCCATAACAGCATTAAATTGCATATGCTCTTTATATGTTATGTACAATCCTAACTTGTAAAGCTTTCAAATAAAGGTGGTCAAATAAAAACTGAATTTCTTTATTGTAGTGTAGAAAAAATTGCATTAAGTAAAGTACAATTATCTCAAGTATAGTAAACGAGTAAATGTACTTTTTGAAGGCCACTAAATGTGGGTTGCTCTGTGAAAAATGACATACGAAGACAATAAAAACAACACTTTTTGTTAATATAGCTAAAAGTTCTCATTTGATAGAATTATTTTTGATAATTTTTGGCATGATTAAACCTATTTGTTTCACATTTTTATGAACAATCATGTTAATAATATTGAATTATGTGTGCAGTTTAATGATTCTTTTTGTTTTAGTTTTCAGATATTGTGTACATATGACCGCCCCTGCTCTGGACTCTGAACATTCAATAACTCTATCCATGACCCCCATCTCACTGGAAACCTTCTCATCTTACGTTGGACGCGTGCTGATGTTTCATGTGAGGCTAAAGACACAATAAACCCAGCCAAGTAAATTAAACCTTACTGGTACCTCTGTGTGCACACTGGATTTGTCTCTTGAGTACCAAAGTAATGAAGACTCCTGGACGGGGAGAGCCCAGTCCTGAAAAGCAATGTCATCCTCCACCTTCTGTGTACGTGTGATGGAGCTGAGGAGTGGACCCAGTGGCCAAGAAGATCTGCGGAGGAGAGGAAGGAGGCAGGTTTCCAGGAAACTTGTGCATTGATGGATTGCAATTTCCTCCCGTCAGCTCTTGTAGACTGATACCTGCACATTCCTATCAGCGTACGCACTCAAGGTTACACTTTAGAGTAGCTAATAAAACAAAGCTGCCATCAAAAACCACACAATCATCGCGGATACACAGATGTGCACATTATGGATTTCTTCTGCCAGTGACAGTTTGTGGAAATCACACTAGGGGGACTGTGGACGTTGAGTTCTGTGTGTATGAAGGAGAAAAGCATAAATACTTGCCGTCATTACTAATCTACACTACAGAAACCATGGTGGTCCTTGCATCGGCTCCTCAGCCCATCGTCGTCCACGACTACAGCAGCCTTTAGAGGCCGGGATCAGGAACACGCTCGCCAGCCAACACACTCATATGCAATGGAAGAAGACATTGATGTCACACCCCACACTGAGGTACTGTTGTTTTACCTTTAGTCTTAAAATGTGTGATCGTTTAATCTTATTCCAGTGTTTGGGCTGATAGCAAGCTAACACCATTAAGGCTGAAGGCAACACCTGCTGTGTTGGTCAACAGAATCAAAGTAGGCGCTTTATCGCTGCTGCCATAGTGAGGTAGCCACTTCAGGTACAGAGATGCAGCATGACTACCCAATAAGATGATTGACGGATTGACTCCAACTTTTATAATAATCTTTCAAGTAATATTTCATGCAAAAAAAGCTGAATAGCTGCTTTTTAAGTCTCTTAAAGGTGGGGTAGGTAATTTTGGAGAAACCAGCTCGAGTGCGCTAGAATTTGAAAATACGTAGCCGGAAAAAATCTGCCACTTCCTTACAGAGCCCCTCCTCCAACACACACGAACGTGCACATGACCAATGAGGGCATGAGATAAGTTTGTGCACAGATGGAAGGCTGACAGGCAGGTAGGCCATCCAGTTATTTTAGCCGGGCCGGCTAAAATGATTGGTCGTGCTTTTTACAGTACTACGGCTTCCACAGATGACATTTTTTTTAATGGATTTTTTGTCAAAGCACTTAAGATATTCATTGCTATCAGGATGTTAAGAGCATTCCATGGAATATAACAAAAAGTGTATCTCGAGCCGGTTTCTCAAACTACCCCACCTTTAAATATTTAGATTGTACCGTACTAAATATCTTTGGGAGTCCGACTGACATAACAAGCAAGACATCACATCAGTCTTAAAGAAACTGAGATGGATATTTTTACTATTTTCTGAAATTTTCTAGATAAAACAATACATCAATTATAAAAAACAATTGTTAGTTGCAGCCCTACTCACTGATAAATGTTCCTTTCCTGCTCCACAGTGTTGTATTATAAACAATTAAGGGCTAATTAGTTTAAGCAGTTCTGTCACATGTGTTTAACTTAAGGCCTAAGGTTAACAGTTCACCCTCGGCGTTAGCTCTAATCTCTGGACCGACTTGCTTGGCATGTTGCTTTGGCAACAGCTGAGAGGGCATTTCTCTTATCCCGAGCTTGATTTCCTAGCCGTAACATTACTTATTGCTCCGTGGCCTCTATCCTTGAGTATTGCTTCCTATGTAAACAGTTGTATAAGTATGTCTCCATCCTGGCTGGATGCAAGGCAGGGAAGGCTTTCCCTAAAGGGAGTGCACCTTTTTTAAATGAACTATTCTACCTACCACCTTTACCTTTACTACCAGCAGAGGAAGCATCCTTATAAAACAGAAGCAGTGAAGTGTTTGCAACCATTTTCTTGTTTTAAATGAATATTTTTCACAAGTTAGTTTTACATTTCAGGGATGCCAGAAAAAAGAGGAAATAAAGAAGCATGTCATGATAATGAATTGCCTGTCTTCTGTGAGCGCTGCACAGGCTTTACATTGTGTGCATGTCTGAAGCATCTGCTCTGTGTTGCTGTTCTTGTGTTAGGGCCTGAATGGTTTGTCCCATGAATGTAAACCATTAGAGGAAATCACCAATGGACACTCCAACCATAAGCCTGTGAGTAAAAATCACCTCCTTGATTTATTCTAATTAGTTTTTCCTTGCAAGTGTTTTATCTAGGAATTAACAATTTAAACTTTCTTCTCAGGTCATGAACGGACTGATAATTAGTCATAATGTCAAAGAGCAGACCAACGGCAGCGCACCACTCAGATCCCTGCCGGTAATTCAATTTCATCCTAAGTATCTGACTGTAGCCAACATCTCCCTCCTCCTTTTAGATGTAATGTAATCATTCCTTGGTAATTGTCCAGATTTCAGCACTGAAGCAGAATGGTCTTCTTCAGACTCTGGCAGCCGGGGGGGGACCAGCCTCAGCCTGCAGGTAACACACACATACTCTCACACAACCTCTCTATTGTCTCACATCCTCTTCCCACAGGAATGTGAGAAGTGTATCCTAGATACCAGCCAGGTAGAGTCTTTCCCAAGGGGTGCAGGTTGCCTGCTTCGGGGAAGCAGAGGGTCTCAGTGGCCCTCTTAGTGATGCAGGCGTGTTAGACAGGAGGGATTTATGACTGAGGATGAACTGGAGGGGTGTCAGCCGATGCACCACAGCATATTACTTATCTCCCCTCATCAGTGCTTCTAGTCACGTTAGTGTGTGAGAGTTTGTGTCACAATTGGGTTTATTAGTTTGTTTTCTTACCTTGTTTTTTAAAGAAGTGAATGGATCAGGCCCTTCCTACATGCTGGACATGGATAAATCATAGACTCAAGCACGTGCACTGTTCTCTGCATCAACCTATCGTCTCGCTGCTCCCTCTCTGCAAATCAGACGCCTTCACAAAACCATGCATGTTTGCTATCCTGGCTCCAAAACGATCGAACGAGCTCCCCATTGATATCAGCACTGCTGAAATCTGTTTCCACTGCCCCTTGGTCCAAAAAATAAATAAAGATGTTTCTCTTCTGCACGTAGCACTTACAAAAGTTTTCATTATTTGAAGCCAATGCAGTAGCACTTACTGATAATGTACCTGCAGGATTATTTCTTTTTAGGTTTGCTTCTCCATGGTTGAATGCACTGATTGTAGGGTGCTTTGGATGAACGCGTCAGCAAATGAAATATATACCATGTAACTTAAAATCTTCTCTACAGAGGAAAATGTGGAGTTGGAAAAGGCCAGAGAGGAGTGGGAGGCTCTGGAGAACGTCCAACCAGGTCAGAAGCATCTCCCCGTTTCACCCGTTTGCATTCAGATTGATGAATTCTTTAGTCTGTAAGTTGCTGTTATAAAGATGTATTTTTATGTAACATCCCCCAGCTCTCACTGAGGACTCGAACCCAACCCCGATCATCTCCTTTAATGAAGCCTTGCAGTACTTCCAGACCACAGACCTCGGGGATTTGCTGGTATGAAACGCTGCATAACCAAACTCTCAAATATAAGCTGATATCTCAATAACAGCCAACGCTCAATATTTGCTGGGGGATCAGTTTGTTGGAACAGAAATTCAGCATAATGTACATTTCCACAGCATTAAATCTACCAGTTGAACATTGTTTTGCTATATGCACACACTCTTCACAATAAAAGCTTTGCAGGGATGGAAAGGGAACTGCTGGAAGCATTTTATTGTGAAAGTGTACATTAACAGCAGACACAAGCAACACCAAGATAACGTAGCAAAGAAATGCACATTAGAAATAAAATAAAGACCTATGTCAGCCGTGTGTGGGGTAAACTAAAAAGTGTTTTTGTATAAAAGAGGGATACACATACTGTGCTTACAGCAACAAAAATAATCAAGTAGATTATGGTACTGGTCATTCTGATCATTTATTTCAATAGGAATCATATACTTTATTTGTATGTATCAATGGATTATTTCTATTGATAGCTCTAAACCCTCCCCACACCCCTCTACCTCTCTGTAGAAGAACATCCAGCCCACCATTCGCAGGACCGGTCTGGCCGCGATCACACACTTCCTGTTCGGACCTCCACGACTGCACAGGGAGCTGCTGGAGGAGAGGGACCTGGTGTTTGCCATCGCACAGTGTGAGTGTGTGTTTGCCAGTGTTATCTGCTAGCTGTGTCTCAAACTCATGAGTGTTGTTCATTTTGTCAGAAATACATTGAATTTAGTGTGTCATATGTGTGTTGACATGTGAGTCTAACCAAAGATCACCCCATGACTTTCTGTCATGTCCTGTTGTTATCATTGTTCACAATAAGTTAAGTAAATCAATTACTCAGAGACTTGTATTAAGTATGTTTTCTCTACAATGAAAATAAAGACAGATTTTGATAAGTTTTTAATTTTTTGTGCTACATTTTATTCATGTCTCTTTTCTTTAAAAAAGATTCCATGTTAATACAGTCACCGTTTGCTATATGATGTCAGTGCCGACTCAACATCGTTTCAACAAGCATATCAAGTAATAGTTTTTGGTTTAAAAATAACATAGATTTTGACTCCTATATATCTGTGTGTTTTTCTACAGGCCATGTGGACAACAGCCAAACCGTCCACATGCGTGTCCTCCAGACCATTTATAAGAGGCTGATAGGCAGCAGGCTGGACTGTCCTCGCTTCGGGGCGCACTGGGAAAACATCGGCTTTCAGGGTAAGACTCCTGCACACACTATACTGCACATATAGGTTCAGGTTTGTGGATACTCATAAAGGTGTTGGGCGGCGGGTTTGCTGGGGCTTTCTTGAAATACATTTCCAAATATCAGTTACTTTCACTTCATCTATCAATCCTTCGCTTCTCTGTGTTTGGAGGAGTGAAACGCGAGAGCTGAGGAGATTAATGATTGTGTGAAATTTGAGCAGCAGGGCTCATCATTCAGCTGCAATGTTACACTGTAGTGAACTGCTCTTTGATTTCACAATGTTATAGCTTTTCATTGTTAAGAAATGTAAAGTGCATTAGTGAAAGTCTAGCAATATGAAGTATTTCTACAGTCTTCAATACTTACAATAAAAAAACAAATGGTTCTCTAGCCTCTGTGTGCTATAACGAAAGAAGATCTGTAACCAAAACATATCGACAGTATCCACTCCAAACAAGTAAACGGCATGTTTTATGTGTTTCTGCAGGTACAGACCCAGCCACTGACCTGCGTGGCACTGGTTTCCTGGGTCTGATGCATACGCTGTACTTTGTGATGGACCCAGAGACTCTACCGTTGGCTAGAGACATCTACAAGTTATCACAACACCCCACACAGGTATCAGCAGCTCAGACACACGTCCACTGGGCAATGAGCTCGTACCAGAGGCAGCTCATGTGTGCATGCAAGTATTTTATTTGGGAATCACATTTCACTAATCCTCCAGAGACACTGAAACACCTCCCACTGCCGGCGAGCTGCTGTAAGCTGACCCCGACCTTTGACCTCCCTGCAGAGAGATCTAGAGCAAAAGGAGAATTTCCCCACAGGGATCAATAAAGTCAGCTTCAAGACGATCTTGTTTTTTCTTGTAACCTCTGAAAGTACTCTGTGTGGACTCAAAATGTCTTGTGTATTTCCTCTGTTTTAGAACTTTCCATTCAGTGTGATGTCAATCAACATGACCCGCATCGCTCTGCAAGTACTCAGAGAGGAAGCTTTGTCAAAGTGAGTCACTGCTCCTCATTTTGGTTTCTCTTCATTCTTGAGTTTTGACTTGCAATATCTTTGTCACACACGACCTCTTCCCCAATGCTCTCTCTCTTTGGTCTATCAGGGAGTGCAATCGTCGTCAGCAGGTGGTCGGTGTGCTCAATGACTTCTACGTTGCCACGTATCTGCACCTGTACCAACTGTGGAAGACCCAACAGAAGACCATCGTAGACTCTGGCTTTGTACTAAAAGGTAAAGAAAATGGTATATCGTTTCTACTGTAACTTAACACTTTGAAATCATGCTTTTTATTGTATTAGTGCTGAGACAAATCAAACCCTTTAATTATGCCTGCAATCATTTTATTTTGTGTCCTTAATTTAGCCCTTAGGGTCCCATTGACATACAGAAACTCTTCTTCCTAAAATGAAGCTCAGACTGAATATTTGGGAAAAGAAACTGGCAGCTGGCTTTTGCTTGGTATTGAATGCTCATAGATGCAAGTTGTGGTATCAATGTTTTCATGTAATTTTCTAAATGTATCAGTCAATAGGTCAATACTCAGTTTGCAGGAGCTCAGTTAAACACAGATTGTCCTCCCGGCGCGAGTCCCACAGTGTCTGTCTTTTTAACCCTGCAGAAGTGGAGCTGTTTGCCAAAAAGAACCCGAAGCAGATGCTGCGCCGACTAGAGGTCTTCCTGAAAGAGAGGCGGGCAGGTGGGGTCCCCCGCGGGACGTCGCCGGATCCTCAGGCCCAGCAGCCTTCTCCCAGCCTGGGGGCCAGGGCCGGGTCGGGACAGGGGAGCAAAGGAAAGGAGATGCACTTCACAGGAGTGTGTGATCTACCGCCAGACATGGAGGGAGAGGCCAGACTCATCTAAGCTAGACTCTGTGTGTGAGAGTGTGAGAGTGTGTGTGTGTGTGTGTGTGTGTGTGTGTGTGTGTGTGTGTGTGTGTGTGTGGGAGCAATCTTGTTTGTGAGTGTATCTATTGTGGTGTGTGTGTGTGTGTGTGTGTGTGTGGGAGCAATCTTGTTTGTGAGTGTATCTATTGTGGTGTGTGCGAGTGGCTTACTCTCAGAGATAAACCCCACCAGTCCCTGATCTAGGACCTGCTATCTGAACCTATTCAAACACCTCCACTCCTTCCTCTGACGCTGGGGTGCTGCACTTTGGTCAGATTAAGCTTTCGGAGTTATATTTGATTTCTTTTTTGTTATTAATGATTAAATTATTTATTTTTTAAACATAGAACAGTTGACTATAAGGAGCTAAAGCAGGTTAGAAACACAGCAAGTGATTTTTTTTTTTTGCACTTTTCTGTGAATTTAGTAGCCAAATCGATAGCTGCCAAATTCTTGTGGTTAAATCCTAACCTGCCTAGATGTCCAAAACGTACACTTGTGTGTCCCTAGGGTCCCTCAGTAAGGGTGTTAACATGTAGAAGAGGGAGGGGCTTCTCCTCCCTCGCTCTGAGATACAGCGCCATCACACGAGCATGCTAACAGCTCATACATACTGTTAAACGCTCTGTTAACTTTATGGTGATACTAGAGAAATGAACCAGTTTCCAGCCGTGCTACAGAGGGGAAAGAGGCAGGTTTCTCTCGGTGTGAGTGGGGAGCGGCAGATCGAAAAACCCAGGGAGGTTACAGAAGATTTGAACACAATAGACTTTGAACGCAGCCTGCTTTGAAGGTCCGGTCTCATGCGTTCTCTATTAGAGCGTTAATTAAATAAATGTCTTGTGAAAGATGTGGACGCTCAGCCCAGATGTGTGGGGGTAGAGCCAGGTGTTTCATGGTGTGTGTTGCCAGGGGTCTGATAGACTAGGTCCAGAGCTTCCACGTAATGTGGGGGAATATATTTTAAATAATAAAAAAAAAACTATTTTAATCTTTTCTGAAGGGACAGCGGACCATAACTTCACAGTTATGTTAAAGCACTGTAGAACTTTGTTATGAAACTTGATGACTTTGTGGCCGTTAGAAGGGTTTTTATTTATCCCACCAGAACGTATGAAAATATTTTCGCGGTTCAAGCCAAGGAGACACGTCATAACAGAGTCTGTGCGCTCGGCTCGGTCCCGGATAAAATCGAAGGTCTGGTATGAGCTTTCTCTACATTCCGTTATAAAGCATGTGATTGTATGTTTTCTTTGACAGTTAAACATTTATTCCAGTGTGTGTGTGTACGCTTGTGTGTGTGTGATGTAATGAATGAGCTGATATTGATGAAGGGTGCCTCTCCTCGGAGATGTATGGTACAGTATGCAATCCCAGCTCTCACTCAATGATAATCAAAACGATAGTGCTGTGTGACGATGGAAATCGTTCCTAACTTCAGGGTTTGTGCGCTTGTGCGAGTGAATGTGTTTGTGTGGGCGTGTGTGTGTTTGTTGTATGACAGGAACTGACTACAGATGGGGTGCTTTCCTCTGCACACAATAAGCCAGCTTTACTAAGTACTTGATCCATCAAGCTGCAAAGACGGTACATTTTGCCGTTTTAAAAAATGGTACAGAACATTTCTTAGGGCAAAATTTACCCAATAAACTAAGAACACTATTTGGTTTACTTTAAAAAAAAAAAACAGATGTTAGTTTTGAACACAGCTGGTGGCTGGGATGGGTAGAGCTCCTCAGCAAAGCTGGTTCCTTCTTTGTGCTAATGTGAAACCGTCCCCCATCGTTGTAGTCTCGATCTGTAGCATGTTCAGGTAGCACTAGTACTGTAGCATCCTATAGCCTCCTCCTCTTCGTAAAGCTTGTTGATGTCATGTCTCAGTTACAGTCCGTAGTGTCAATGGGTGCGCAAACTGTTACTACTATAGCACATTTATTTCGTATTTGCATCAGGCCTCCTTCAGTAGACACACATTTAGGTGGCGCAGCGTATGTTTCGGAGAGATGTGGGATAGGCTTGACGTGTTATTGAGCTCAACCTTGTCTTCTAAGAAGGTAACAGTAAAAACGGTGCCTACGTCCAGTGGAGCCACGAGGGGTAGAGCGCTTTTTGTTTTCTTTCATTTGAGCCACCGTGCCACATTAGACTTCCTCCATTCATGTAACGCAGTAAACAGAGTCGATGTGACCCCCTAACATGCAGGCCTAAAGGATATATACATAACGATACACTATGGTCCACTCGGATAGTTTGCCATCTCCGTTCTCCACGAAATATCTTCAAAAAATGAGCTGATGTAGTTTAGCCAATTGTTTGCAAGTGTTTTGATCGAACAGGACAATTTGCACTGTTGTAGATATTTGATAGTGTGTGTGACGTATGCAAGAGGAAACAGGCCATCTTCAATAGCCATAATGTCCATTATCGCCCACCTCATTAAACTTCGTGGAGTCCTCCCTCTAAAAAGAAATTGCACCATATATTTGATTTCACATTTAGTTTTATGACATTTTTAAACTGAGGCGCAGTACAGTGTATGTAAATCAGGAAGTTTGTATATAGAGAATTAATGATTGTAACTGTGTGATGGTCTGTAGGGCATTATACTGAAACACATTGCTTACCTCAAGACTTGAGACAAATCTCTCTTTTCTCTCTCCTGACGTTTGTTTGGCCTCTCAGTCAGACTCTTTCTTTTTTTTACGTTTCCTTGTACCTAGGCCTTCTCTCATACCATTTGGACATGTTATATATTGTATAATCTACACCTGAAGCACTATGGTATAGCAAACTAACACAAAAGCTGGTCAATGTTATGTGTAATCTATTTAAAGACACATTTATAGACACTATATAGGCCCACACGCGCTCATCTGCAGATGATAAAATCCTTTTTTAAATGATCTATAATTGGCTGATGTTTGAAATAAAGCTGGGTTTCTTGTGGCTTCAGTGATAGTACAGTATACATTTTGCTGTGTTTAAGTGTTTGATGTCCGGAAAACACTCAGAAACAATCCAGTGGGTACAGCTACAGTCACAAACAAATAAATATATGATTGTAAAGATATACGTTTGATTAGGAGTCATAATACAGTGTATGCTTTGACCTTGGTATATATTCAGTATCCAAACAAGGCCTGATTTATCCTCTCATATTACCAAAACTTATATTTTTAGCGGTTCTAATAGATCATATTCTTATGCGTTGATTATCGTTTCAAATCTCCTCAGTTGTGAAACCAGAACCAAGAGAAAAAAGAAAAAGAAAACGGGTTCTTGCAGGATGTCGGATGCTCTGAGAGGTGTGGTGTGAAGTTCAGCCGCTCGGCAAATACAATCACTTCTCTAAATATCCTGCGCTTTATATGAAGGTGTTTTACTGTTGCCGTCGTCGTCATGTCCCTCAGAGCATTTTATGACTGTACCTTGATTGTAGAAGCCCTATTTTATACTGAGAGTTATTTCAGAATACAGTATGTGCTGTTGTACATTAAATGTATCGTATGGAGAAAGCTAAATAAATGCTGTTAAAAAACTAAAATATTTTCTCTGAGCCTTCTGTGACTTCTTATTGAATTTATTGAATAATTATACTGGCATGTACTGTCCATCAACTCCACATTACATACACATTTTTATAGATACATTTTTTCCCCTTACAGATCAATGTACTTTGCCATGTTGTGACAGCATGGTTTCAAAGCCAATTACATTTCTCAAAGAGAAGATTTAATACATTTCGTTTTCCAAGATCTCCTGAAGCTTTCTCACCACCACTGTAATTTCTATGGCTGCAACTTATAACTTAAGTTATTTAAACTATCAATCTCTGATGATTACTCTTCCATTAAATGATTCATTGTGTTTATTAATTGTTTTTGATTCAAGTGTAAAAAAGGCATAACAATTCCTGAGAGCTCAGTCACGTAAGGACAAAAAGAAAAGAAGCAAATCCTAAAGAGGCCCTATTATTATTGTGTTTGGGGTCTTCCCTGTCCTGTAGTGTGTTCTATAGGTTTTTGTGCATGTAAAATGGCCCGCAAAGACTAAAATCCCTGTGTTCCCTCAGGGAGTTCCCCCCCCCCCCCCCCCCCCCCCCCCCCCCCCTGCCTGAAACGCCTCCATTGAACTCGTTTGTATACCTCGATAACATAAAGACATCAATATGTAACACTTGCACTTCTAGTGATAGGCTAAGGTGCGGGATAACAGAGCCGGCCAGCTAACCAATCAGAGCAGACTGAGCCCTGGTTTCAGACAGAGGGTGAAAAGATGTGCTGCAGCACAGGCAGTATAAGGAAAATAAAGACTTTTTTGAACATTAAAGCATGTAAACATGTCTCAGTAGAAGCACAACATACAAATATTACCTGAACATTTGCATAAAAGAGCCCCTTTAACATTTGAGAAGAAAATGTTTTAATGTCTGCTCGATTAAACAACTAAACAAGTGCTCATTGTTTCAGATTAATCTTCTTCAAAAATCAATTAACTTTTGTTTCAACACCAACATCTTTTTTTAGCTATTCTTGGTGCAATAATGCAACGACTGTAAACAGCTCACTCAGAAATCATTCTGTAAAATTATAGTTTGAATTGAACAATGGTTTATAGTGGGTCTCCAGCTTTTCTGGAATTCAACCACTAGAGAGCACTCTTTTATACTTTTGCAACTAAAAGGACCAAATCTCTAAGAGAACATGCAAGTCCACAGGTGCTACGTTTTAACAGGGTGCTTTATGTATCATTGCACTATAAAATGGCCTCATCTACACTAAAAAAACTAATGCTGTTCAGTGGCAGGCATTAAAGTTGTATTTACGATCCTTAGGACACTTCCAGCTCTTTTCCTGTGCTTCAGCTTTCAAGGCAGTGTGAGTCAAACGCTGTGAAATTTGAACCTAATCCTTATTTGGTTGTTTAGTTTCAAGTGAACCTCATAACATTCTCTGCTGCTTCATCATTAGAGGCGGAGAACCAGTGCTGGCTAGCTGTGTAAAGTCTCAGCCACAGTCCAAGGTCCTTCTGCCTGCTCTTCGTCTTTCATCAGGGAAACAAATTACTCAATAACACGTAATTGAAGCATGATTTAGCAGAAATTCTAATACATTTTCCTCCATTGTTTTGCCACAATACAGGGCCACTGCAGTGAAATGTTGAGATATTAGCGACCAATCATAGAGAGGGGCCTTTTGGTCATGGGTCAATGAATTTGGGATGCCTCCAAAGGCATCTCAGTGCTGCTGCATGCTTCTACATCTGTGCCTAATCAGAGCCGTGGCTCCGGTCCCATGCTGCCAGATGACTGGGCTGTGGTGGACTTGCTGAATCACAGCACACAGGATGGAAAAATATTTCAGCCAACCCTTTTTTTGTATCACTACTTATCTGTGTCGAAACCACACTTCCATTAGCGATTTTTCATATCTGCTCATAGTTTATGGTCTGTGCTTGTGTTGTCGTTCTTTGATGTGGTTTCAGATGAGATTAAAGGACAAATAGAAGACACAATTATGTGACTCAGGAGCCCATAATAGGAAACTAATGTGATACACAGACATCGGTTATGTGTCAGATGTCCTGCTGGGGTGTTTAGATGTCCACATGCTCAGTGAGAGTGAGGAGAAAAGAGCAGGATGGACTTTTAAAATCTGTTTCCATTCGTACCTAGTGAGCCTGCTGGAATACATGCAATGCATTTCTTACTCTCTCTCTCCCTCGCACACTTCCCTCCCCCAACTCTCCTCCTCTCCCACTCTGATGTCATTGTTTCCTGCTCAGTAGATGCTGACATACGCTCCTCTCCAGGGTGTGTGCACAGACCCCTAAACCTAATGCTCTGCCTGCCATATAGGCATTCACAGACGCAAATAAAAGTGATGTCAAATCCATTAAAACTCCAGTCAGTAGAGTCTGCTGGTTTCTGTTGTCTGTCAGTGCAATTACGTGTAAGGGCTGAGTGTTTGCCAGTGTGAACAGTTGCTCTATGCAAGTTAATGGAACATTATGCTCCTGCTTGTTGCAAGAAAGTTACTACTATTCACTATTTATTGTGCTAAATTTCCATTATCCTTATGTGAATATCCTAATGAGTGACTTGAAAAAGCTCTGTATTATGCTAAATATTCTGATTTAAAGGGGCCCTATAGAACCCAGTCTGCTCTGATTGGTCAACCACTTATGGCGCATTTCCACTACAGCGCGGAGCGCGGTTTAAGCGTGCCGTTTTTGGTTGCGTTTCCACTAGGCGTAGTTCCGGCTAGCGGGTACTTTTTCACAGTTTTCTGGCTCTCTAAAATCGAGGTTCTTTCCGGGCCAACAACCGGGCTGAGTATGCTAAACTAGTGAGAGAATTGCTGGCAACTACAACAAAATGAACATATTTGACCGTGATTTAATTGTAATACACGTTTCAAAATGATGCCGAAGTAACAACATACTGATACTGGTTAGTAAAAACCATGAATTAATGCTTTGACAAGTCTGCAGACAGACGGCAGGCGAAAAACCTTTTAAAATGCGTGTTTTCTGAATGGAGACCGGCTAAGCTAACGCAGTATATGCTCCGACCGTCCACACTCACAACAACGGCCTATACAGACATAAATAAAGCAGCGACTGTATTCGCCATGACACAGACAGTCTGTGGTTTGTACTTGTTTAACTTTTGTCTAGTTTCTGAACAGATATTAGGAGCTGTGAGCTCTGAGGGCTAACAGCTAACAGCTGATGTTGGTTTTGTGTTTCATTGAAGATGACGTCACGGCTCCGCCTACACTGCGTTACTATAGTTACTACCCCAGTTCCTAAACTGTAATGGAAACGCAGCATAAAGTGAGCCTGGCCTACCAAGGCCTAACTATACCGTACTAAGCCGTGCGAGGCCCTGCAGTGGAAATGCGCCATTAGAGATGTCCAGCCCTTAGCCCATCACGTGCAATGTGTTGGAGCACTAGCCAATAATAGCGTGAGTGTTACATAGTGATGTCACATAGTGAAGTAAACAATTGAGGTGTTTCAGGCAGTGGGGGAGTTTGTGGGAGAGAAACACTACACTACACACTAAAGGTAAAAAAAAAAAAAAGGATTATGGGGCTCTTTAAAAAATAAATACCGGAGCTATCATGTAAGAAAGAACAGAATGTTGCTATTTGTTTCCTAATTTATTATTGATTTATTTTACAAATACCATTATTTAAGATTTGTTTTTAGTTTTTTTTCCACTAAAAACGTTTTTCTTTGCCATACATATTCCGCTACAGTATGTTCAAGTGGCATTTAAGAAGTGTTAAGCAAATTGTTGATTGTTATCTGGAATATATCATGAATATCAACTGTTTTCGGCAGGAAATTCTTGACATTACATTTTTATATCATTACATGCCGAATGCAAATTGTGGTAAGTGGGAAGTGTTGTCACGTACGTTAATGTGAGGCCTCAAATGCTCATCTGTGTAATTATCCATCTGTGGTGTCATTTCTGAAACATTATGCTTGCGCTTCTTGAAAAAAAGGACTTCCCCACTTACTCTTGTCTGAACAGTAATCACCATGTGAGTGACATCAAAGGTCAGGAGTTATCTCTGTGTCCTGGTGTGATATTATGTAACTGCAGCTCACACACAACCGTTGTTCTTTAAAATGGTGTAAAAAGTAATCAGATTCTTTAACGAAAGTAAAATTGTCATAAAAATGTAAATACTTAAGTTAAGTACAAGTCCATCACAATTCCACACTCGTCCATCTGGTAAGACAGAAATGATTTACTATCAAAGCTGCTCTGGTTTTCTTATACTCCATTCTATGTAAATCATTTCAGAGATTCGCATGTTGTTTTCCATGCTTTCATTTGACTTTTATTACTGAAGGCAGACACCAGCCTTGCAAGTGTTTTCCAGCTCCCTCCCCACTGTGTGAGTCTGTATCCTTTCCAGATAAAAAGGCCTCTGCTTGACCTTACTGTAGTCTGAATTATCTGCTGCATTCTTCAGAGCCTTAGTCATATCCAACACAGATATCATTGCATGTTACAATACATTTTTCTTTAAATCAAATCCTCCTGGACCAATTCTGTTAGACTATCTTCAACATCTGAGAGTGTATATAAACTGAATGTTTTTACCAGGTGTGTTTGCTATTGTGTGTCTGTCTTGTGTCAGAGTTACATTCCTGTGCAGTGTTACTTCTTTATTCAAACATCAGGCATGTCTGGATAATAAGCCTTTTCTCATGGAGTGAGTGCAGGTGACAATGGAGGCAAAATACCTTAGCTGAGGTCATTGCATTTTGTAGGAATGTGTGCAAAAGTGGGGTAACATGACACCTTTTTACACAGACATTATTTTAGACCCCTTACTTAATTCGACATGATGTAAAAATATGTCATTACTGTCTAATATCTTCACCTAGATTTTCATTTCCCCATTGAGAATACACTGCTCTAGGAAAGACTATTTCATGTACCCTGACTGTGGATAAATGTGCTGCACGTCCATCATTTAAAGGCCCCTCCAAATGGTGGACAGAAGAGGAGGATGGGGGGGGGGGGCAAAGAAAACACTAAAATCTTAAAAGGTTATTATTCTGTCATCTGCTCAAACAATTCCCCCGTCCTGTGTGCGTGCTCCCCCCCCCATCCCCATTTGGAGGATCATTAGTGTGAGGAAAGGGAGACAGAGACGAGACGGTTAGTGAAGATTCCTTCCTAACCAAAACAAGCCTTGGACTGCAAAATAATTTATGTTCTGTTTTCATTTTTCTTTGAATTCCTCCCTCTGATGATTAGCAGTGTTTGGTTTTGTTAACACACACACACACAATCCATGTCCTCCTCCCCTTTCTCCTCCTCCTCCTGGTGTGGAATTCTAAGTCGTAGCAGTCGCTCGTCTCTCCTGCTGCTCTGCTCTGCGTGAGTTTGCAGGGTTAAAGCTCTCCGTGAGGAATTCAACAGGAGCTGCAGACAGAAAGAAAGATCTGACTTCTTTCTTCAATCCAGTAGGTGCAAGCCCTGTAGTCTGAGGCCTCACCTGCCCTCCCTCATCCTCCCCCCGCCGTCTCCTGTCTGATCCCTGCACCTGTTCTGACTCGTCAGCCAGGTGAGGGGGGATCCTCTGGCCTTGCGCTGTTTTTGCAGCTGACCGTAGCTGTGGGGCAATTAGGAAACCAGTCCATTCATTTGACTGGATTGCTGCTTTGCTCTGTATCTCTCTTTCTCTCTCTCTCTCTCTCTCTCTCTCTCTCTCTCTCTCTCTCTGTATAACCCACCTCCCTGCATATCCCTACCCCCCTCCCACTCCATCTCAGTCTAGCCCAGTCTGGTTGACATTGTGGCTGTGTGAGGAGCTGCAGAAGTTTCCCTGCTGGAGTAAAAAGTGTGGATCACATTGCAAAGGACACAGGGGAAGGAAAGGTTGAGAAGGAATTCTTCTGCTGGACGAGGTTGGATTGAGGCGACTCAGATTGAATAGAAAAAAACTCCAAACCAAAGGATTGTGCATTTGGAAGAGCAGCAGGTATGAAAAGCCAGACTGTGGTTGTGTCTGTGGCTCTGCTGGCCCTGTGCTGCCTGCTGATCCCCAGAGGAGGGGAGAGTGCTGGGGGGATCGTTTCTTTTCGGCAGGCTGAAGCAGAGAAGCAGGCTGGGGATCAGCTGCAAGATGAGCCCCTGGAAGACCCAGAGAGTGAGCAAGTATTCGCAGGGGACCCTCACCCACTGGGGAGCAGCAAAAGGGGAAAGAGAGACACACAGGAGGCTGCACAGGCAGGTGAGTGGACACAATTCAGATTGTAAGTAAAGTAAAAGACATATTTGTTGCACAGTCAAGACATCAACGCTGATCAGGTATGGTCTGACCTCCAACATGATATGGAAGAGCACACACACACACACACACACACACACACACACACACACACACACACACTCAGAGTCTGACAGCTTTACAGGCATGAGAAAGTACAGATACTAACCTGTTACTCCTCCACAGCAGAGAATAAAACTGATCGTGTTTGTCCTACATACCAGACAGGGAAGAATACACTGACTTAAGCATATTGCGGTCAGATATGACACAGACTGGCCTTTTCCACTGCCACAGCATACTGCCTGTATGATTAATACTGACCACAGTGCATATCCACTCTGGTCAGACTGATAGGAAGACTGTTGCACAATTGCAAACAGTCAGCTCAAACCGTTGAGCACCGTTTAATGAGTCTCACTTATGAGATGATGCTGAGGTGATAGTGATGTGTTTATTGAACATCTGGACATATTAAAACGGAAGTCTGGTTTATGGAGTCCAGCTAATGGAAAGATAGAGCAGTGTTTTCCATGAAAGGGCCTCACAATTTGAGACAACCTCAGGAGGAAATACTGATGAACCTGAAGCAGCCACTAAAATAAATCCGCTGTCTGGATTTTCCCTGGCAGCGCTGTGTTTTGCCATTGCAGATAATAAATCATTGCATAATTCAAGTCTGACATAAATGAAACAGTGTTACTTTACCTTTTATTTCAGTCCTTAATGTTATAGGGCTTTTATGGATTAATCTCTTGGCATTATAAGATATTTAGTAATACCAGCTGAAGAGGCTTAATTGTTTTGGGGAAAAAGACAATTGTTTATGCATTTATTGTGCTTTGTGCTTATGGTCATGATCATGGCCAAAAGATTAAATTAATTTGGGAAAAACTCTCTTCTTCTGTTAACCTCATCTTTCTAGGTATTTCTGGCAGGGTGAGGAGAGAGCCAGAAGAAGGTAAAAAGAAGAAGAAGGACAAGAAGAAGAAAAAAGAGCCGAAGGACCCCAACGCCACCAGAAAGCCCAAAACTGACAAGAAGGGAAAGAAGAAGGACAGGAAAACAACAACAACAACAACTGAACCACCCACCACAACAGGTGGGGACAGAACAGAGCAGAAAGCAAAGTTTGTACTTGAATGATTTGTACTTTATGGATGTTGTTGACCTTGTGTTTGTCTGCTGCCTTCAGTGATCCCGACTGAACCGCCCACTGAACCGTACACTGACTACGTCTATCCTGATGTTGGTGAGTGACACGCACTTAGGGACTGTACACAAACTAATTGGATAGGAAATATAGGTACATTCTATAATTATAAATCTATTTATAAAAAATCTATCTATAGACCAATCTCACTTTTTTAGTTCATGTGTCTGCTGGGGATAAATAACAGTCTATTTTATCAAATTTTAGATCTACAAAATGTGTAGCATTTTTGATATTTTATTTGGGTTTACCCATGACTGCAACACCCTCCTCTTAATATTTTATAATATAATACTGGGTTGGTGCAACTCTTCCCACAATTATTGAACATTTTAAAGGGGTACTCCACAGATGTAATATCAAAGTCACTTTTCAGGGCTTAAAGACTCCATTATCTCCCTTAAAGGAAAACAATATCTATAAAAAAAAAACACAAGATTAGTGCTACTTAGCCAGAAAGCCAGTTGTGAAAGGTTCATTCATTCCAAAAGATGTTAAGTTTGCTTCCAATAGCAATTGCTGTATCATGTTTTCTAAGAAAGCAGTTAATATATATAAGCATAACCTAAAAAGTATTGTTGTTGCACTGTTGGTGGAGCCTGGGACCTAAGATTTTAATCGTCATAACTACACTGTAGCTATGTACGTATGACTAATAAAAGCCTTGAACCTTGAACTTGAACAATATTTCAGTTTGGACACCTGAGACTAGCTTTACATCTGTTTTTCTGCCAGACAATGAATACTGGAAACCAGAAGATGACTACTGGGATGCCGATCCCACACCAGCCGGGCCTGAGCCTGAAGCTCCAGAAACAGATCTTCCTTATGATGACTATGAGCCGGAGGAGGAAGACCTGGCTGCTCCAGTGACAGATCTTCCGTATGATGACTATAATCCGGAGGAGGAAGACCTGGCTGCTCCATTAACAGATCTTCCATACGATGACTATAAGCCGGAGGAGGAAGACCCGGCTGCTCCAGTGACAGACGTCTACGATGACTACTGGAAATCCGAGGAGGAAGAGCCGTCCACTCGGGCGCCTAATGCTTACGATGACTACTGGACCCCAGACGATAAAGAACCATACGTTCCTGTGACTGATAATTACGACACCTATTGGAAAGAGGACCCGACGCCCCCCACCCCAGAGGTGGATGGGAAGACTGATGACTCCGACTACTGGGACAAAAATTGTGAGTCTTTCTTTGATTGAAGATATTTGTGGAGTGACAGTTTGACACCAAGGGGCAACATCTGGGGAAGTGTGGCATTTATAGAAGTGTTGTTAACCTGCATTCTGTTCAATGACCAGCAGGGGGCAAAAGGGAAGTCTATAGAAGTCTATAAGAAAAAGACCCTATTGGGACTTGATTTATTACCTCAGAAAACATTCTCTCATTGATTTGATGGTCTCGACTGCTAGTTTCAAGTCGTGTTCAATATAGCATGATGTTCATTTTGTAAATTATATTTCTATTTAAATTAAAATAGGCGATAGAGCAGAGTATGCAGTTTAGGGCTTGTCTAACTTATGAATGACAGGTTGCTTTTCTTGGGTGTTGCCGTGTTATGGTCTTACTAATTTAACCCTTTCACAGCAATGTGTACTTATGTATGTACTTTGCTCCAACATCTTGACACCAATGGGTGACATCCAATGATTGGGACGACTTCTTATATGCAGCCTATGTTTATCACACGCATGAATACAATGAGGTACAATTAGAATTATCCTATGGGAACATAATTGTTGTGCCGATCTTTTGGACTCAATGTTTTTTATTTATTCAAAGAGGACAAATGTAAGAAATTAATTTAACTTTTTACTTATACTGCAAATAGTTGTCGAACTAAATTTCCAATTGCTTGTATTACTCATCAGCAGCTTCCGGTTAGATTCCTTCATGCACCACAATGCCTCATCCCTGTTTCGTTTACTGTGTTACTACAGTCACAGCCAAACATGGATCAATTGTGTTCTTGTTTTTAAACCAGGTCCACATGACTCCATCTGCCACCTGTAACCTATTAGAAGAAGACCACAAGGTTTCTAAACAGCTTCATTTGATCTGTTCTGTGAATGATCAGTTCGTAATGAATCACAGTTATAGATTTTAAGTTTTCGTGACCCACTCACTGTCACATTTTGTAAAGGTTTAAAATTGTTCACTTGTATTTCGGAATATCAAAAAAACAATGTATTTGAAACAATATTTGGACCAAAAAACAATTGTTAGGTTTTATTTGACTGTGACAACATTCACTAGGTGATATGTAATACAACATCTTCCAATACCCTCTTCCGGCCCTTGGTAATCACAATGCTTTGTTCTACCCCTTCAAACATTTTCAAACTCCAATACTGTAAAATGGTAAGTTAGGATCATTTACAGACTTCACGCAAAAAAATTGGTCACTATCTTCCAGCCTCCAGCCTCTGTCCACCTGACATCAGCCGTGACTGATCTAGTTTTTCCACAGGCTCAGATGTAAGAAACAGTCCTTCGTGTGGCTCGGTGACACTCATCTGGAGCGGACATATGTGCTCATTACTCTGTATTTCCAGCATACTATACCTATGCTCTCACAACATTTCCACTGATTCACTCACACTTGCACATCCTGTATTTTCTATCACGTTCTCCTGTTTCTCAGTCTGATCGGACACTTATATAATCCCTCTGTTTGGCTAATTTTCATTACGTTTTTTATTTCTTCTGCAGATGAGGTGCCGGAGAATCTTCCATTCCCTGATGGTAAAGAGGTCAGCCCTGAAATCGAAGTAGAAATTATACCAGGTAACTTCTGTCACTCAAACATGCTTGAAATTCGAGTCATATTTTCAATGATGTCGTCAACTAGTGAGAAATCTCTGTAGACTTTGTGATGCAGACAAAATGTAATTCCATCTGTGCCTTTATGCTGGCAGCAGATGAGAAATCCTGCGCAATTCAACACATGGCAATAACATAACAGTGAGTCTGTGAGCTAACCTGCCCTACTTTTCAAACAGGAGTGGGTAGATTTGCTTGGTTCCAAAGAGTCAACAAAATGTTCCTTAGTTTTGATGTGGAGATTTAAAAAAAAAAAGAGCCTTGTCATCAGATCACCACTTTGTTATAATTCCTGTAAATGTAAATTAAAGATTTAACAACTTAATTACATCGTAGGCGTCACAGTGGCATCCAAATAAAGAACAGTTGTTGTGGGTGAATAAATCAGGGCTGGACTAACCTGTAAAACTTTATGAAAGCACGTCATCTTATAAAGTATCACTTAATAGCGTTGTCTCTGAACGAGTTGTCTGACCTTATGTTTGTTTTATCTACGCAGAGGAGCCCACAGCCACTCCTCCCGATGAGGGGACATGGTATGATGATTACGACGAATACGGAAATAGTATGTGCACACACACACACACACACACACACACACACACACACACACACACACACACACACACACACACACACACACACACACACACACACACACACGCACACACACACACACACACACACTGAAACATATCCAAACTGTTTTATATTAGATCCATTAGTTAAGCTGCTGCAGTGACTCTTCCTGCCAACAAAGCAGAGAGCAAGGAGAGCAAAGCGATAAATAAAAGTCAGGTCATAACTTTCCAGACTTTTAAATGATCTTTTGTGACATTTGTACTGCATTTGGTTCCTAATAGCTTATAAAAACACAGAAAGACTTGCATACACACTGCTGTACAAGGCACAAGTGTATATACAGTATAGGTATTTCTATAAAATGATCCTTAATTCTCCACAGGCAGGAAAGGAGCAGAGACTGATGACAAATGGATGGAGAAGGAGAAAGAAAGGGCAGCAAAAGAAAGAGCAAGGGAAGAGAAAGGTAAGATACTACTCTCTTTTACTGTAGATAACACATTTTGCACAATCTTGTCCGAAAACACCGATATTGGAGTTGCCAAATCAAAGAACATGGCCTGTGACCTCAGTGCAAAAGTACTAACAGATAACAGAAGGTGTTGCCTCATTTAGATCAAATGTCTGTTTTAAGAAAACAGCAGATGTGACTTTCTACCATGTTAATGTCAGCAAGCCTTTGGTACTTGCTTTAACTTGTGAACAAAAGTTCAACCCTTCCATAACAAAATGGAGATTATTCAAAGTTATTTCAGAAAGCTCTTGTGAGTTGCACTGAAGCCAAGGGAGTGAGAGGGGAGGTCAACTGACACTGATCTGAATGCAGTAGATTAGTGTGAGTGATAAAGAAAAAGGCAACAAGGGAGAATTAGCAGGCATGTTGCAATGTAGAGACTTAAAGTATCAGCTCTTTTTCGCCACGTGTCTGCTGTGTGTAGCGGGGTTAGCTGGTGGGTAAGGAGAGTCTGGAGACGATGATATATAACTCCACCAAGACCGGTGTCAATAGGTCACTTCCTGTGTGGATGGTTCACTGCTATCTGGGTTCAAGGTGAAAAGCATTTTGGCTTAAAAAAGATCAGACGTTTTTGGGGCTTGAAACAATGATCTGTAACAAAGAGGCGCAAAAGCAGATGTGCTCCTGCATCTATACACATCAGTGTGTGAATGGGTTTGTCCACTTGTGTGTGCATGGTAGGTGAGTTAACGTACAGCTGTAAGTAAGACTTCTGGCTGCCATACTACCAGCAATAAACTTTATTATGTCAGTTCAGTGTGTACAAATCTGACTTAAGATAGGATGTTATGAGTTTGATCAGCACTTGGAAGAGAGATCATAACATCTGTTTTTTTTTTACTACACTTTCTTTTTGGCATTTACATTTTTAAAAGAATGCACATGGGTTCCTAGATCATTTCTGGGAAGAGAGAGAGAACATATTCAGCCAAGACAATTTGATTTGCAGTAAGACCTTTTTTTTCTGATATCTGCCAGAGAGAGCGGAGAAGCTGAAGGAGGCCGAGGAGCGGGCCAGGAACAGACCCCGCGTCTTCAAAGAGCCAAAGAGTACGTTTGTTCAGATCTGGAAGGCATTGCTTAAGCTTCTGCTGATAACATTAACATATCATTAAAAAATGTATTGGCAGAGTGCCCTCCCCTGGGGATGGAGTCCCACAGGGTCGAGTCGGACCAGCTCACAGCCTCCTCCGTGTCTCAGTATATCTTCGCAGCTCAGAGGGCGCGACTCAACATGCAGGTAAACCATCAGAGGGGGCTGCTGTGGTGGGAACGCTTTCAGACAGCTATCACTTACATACTGCCAGGCTTTAATATAAACACCAGCTACCAGAGGAGCCATGTCGGAAAATATAAATTACGGTTGAGTCTGTTACATCCATTATCTGCTATGAGTGTCTATGGCCATAATCTATAGTCTAAATATTCTTTTTAGTAGCTAAATTATTGGATCAGCTGATGAATTATTGCAGTGTTTTTAGTCATCAGTGCATCTGTGAGGTATGTGCAAAGTATGAATTAAATATAATTGCATGTCAGTGCGCGATAAGTTAATATTTGGGCTCCAAATGTGACCAAGTCAAAGCACCCTGCAGCATGTGTTGTGGTCTCTGTGGTTCCCAGGGCTCAGATGATGAAGACAACATGAGAGGAGGAGCGTGGTGTGCAAACCAGGAGGATACGATCCACTGGTTTGAGATTGATGCTCGCAGAGAGACGGAGTTCACAGGAGTCATAACCCAAGGACGAGACTCCATGAACGCGTAAGACACTAACACACAGACTAGGTATTTTCTATTTCTGAATTGAACATGTTGCTAACACATTGCTTCATTTCAGGAGTGACTACGTGTTGTCCTACTTCCTGGCTTTCAGCAATGACAGCAGAGAGTGGACCACCATCCATGATGGGTACACTGACTGGGTTAGTTCACCTTAATGTACTATATGGCCCCTCCTTTTGGCATTATGTATGATTTGCCTTCTCTTTTCCTGACTCACCTTTCTCCCCCTCCCTCTCCCCAAGTTGTTTTTTGGAAACAGTGATAAAGACACTCCGGTGATGAATCAGCTGGCAGAGCCTGTGCTGGCTCGCTACATCAGAATCATCCCTCAGAGCTGGAACGGCTCCCTCTGCATGAGGCTGGAGGTCCTCGGCTGCCCACAGCCCGGTGAGCCTCCAACACTTTAAAAACAATCTTCACAAGCAAATTGTAAATCAGTATATATACATAGGAGCACATTCTCACCCTGTGTTACCGATAATTATTCAAGACGTTGTTTCATACATACCCAAACGGTGAATGAAGAATCAAACACAGTACAAAGTCTTGGTGAATTAAAGTAAATGAGGGCAGCATTTGAAGACATTAACATTTTATCCTTTCACAAACTCTCATACAACTCGTGCAGCATAATCCAAGTCTCATTTAACCAGTCGTATATTCACTTCTTCACAAACACATGCATTTTCACTATAACGTTTCTATTCTATAAAAACACATCTGCATAAAAAGTATCCAAACAAGTGTGGATTGGTCCAAACTTGTTTAAATAGGAAGGTTTTATGCAAATAGGCAAGAGGTTATAAACCTACAGCTGGTTAAATGAGACTTGGGTTATATTACAGAAGTTGTGTGAGAGTTTGTGAATGGATGTTTCCATAAATGTTTGCGGCCCCTATGCAATTAAATTCATCTAGAGTTTTCCGATTGTTCATTTAACTAGGAGCGATGTGAGAAAAACTAAGTTTTCTTCACATATTCAATGTAACAAAGGGTGAGTAACTGATACACAAATTGACCTTTTCTGGATGAAGTAATCCTTTGACACACTTATTAATGCACGCACACTATAACACACAAAATGAAGGATGCATTTTATTTGTGTCTTGTTCCACAGATCCAGTGGATGTTCAGTACAGGCAGAATGAAGTGAATCCAGTGGATTACCTAAAGTTCAGACATCACAGCTACTCAGAGATGGTTGAAGTGAGTATCCTCCACACGGCCCCCTGCACATCTGCTGGCTCATTGAATTCAACAGGAAATACCTCAGTTATTTCCCCAAAGACGAAAAACTAAATAATTTCCCAGAACATTTAAACTGTTTTAATCCACTTTAATATGAACTGATATTAAACCCTCACCCTAACCCCGCAGTGTGCTCATTCCTTCTCTGCTTGTTATTACAGCTGCCACAGGGCAACATAACCTTTCCAAGGCAATGCTTATCATGAACAGCGGCCACACTTTGCCCAACCGTCATGAGTACTTTGTTGATTTTTAGGAGGATTTCTATGTGTAAATGATGTACAATACTTTGCACACTGACTGTTACCATCGTCTCACGTGTTCAGGTCATGAAGTCGGTGAATTCAGAGTGTCCCAACATCACCAGCGTCTACAGCCTGGGCCGCAGCTCCAAGGGACTCGATATCATGGCCATCATCATCTCCGGCAACCCCACAGAGCATGAAATAGGTGGGCATGTGTTCATATGACTAGGGATGCAAGATATACTGTATAATATCAGATAAAAGATCAGCTGATTTTCTAAGGCCAAATAGCTTTTATTCACTTAACCAGCTTGTGTCTATAGAGTAAGTTGGTTTGCAAACTGCCTATTAATAAGTGCAGACACTGACTGTAGATAAAGAGATAGAGAGCCAAACATGTGGTCGCACATGTTGACGTTTCTCAAATGTTCAGACAAAGTAACCATGATTGCAATTTTCTATTATTAGTATTATGTGTTTGTAGTTTTAATACATATGATGACAAACCCTAAATTAGATTTGGTTAGGTCAAACTATGGAATATGAAATTGTCGTTCTAATCTAAATCTACAGCCCTTCTACCTTTTGATGATCATAAACTACAGGCCTTGAACTTCTTTTTAAAAAACTGGAAATGTTTGGGTATCTGGTATCGGCCACATAAGCAAGTAATAATCAGTTGTTGGCACTGGCCGGATAAAATCCATATTCTGCATCCCTATGATGATGAATCTTTTTTTTGCTATTAAATGCTGTTTGGTTGAACAACTGGGGCTCAATGGCACCACCAATGATTCCTATAAATCCAGATAAACACCAGGTGGAAGTCAGCAGATTACGGTTTAAGGGACCAACAACTACAGTCTTCTCCCATTGTCTCCACAGGTGAGCCAGAGCTGCGCTTCACGGCCGGTCTTCACGGAAACGAGGCAGTGGGTCGGGAGATGCTGCTGCTCCTCATGCAGTACATGTGCAAAGAGCACAAAGACAGAAACCCCAGAGTGCAGCGTCTGGTGGAGGGAATACGCATCCACCTGGTGCCCTCGCTCAACCCCGACGGACACATGGAAGCTTTTGAAGCGGTCAGTGGTTATCATTGTTTAACATCATGTGTTTTTACTTTTCTGGCAAACAAAAGAGAGGCACAAACAGGAAATGCCAGAGAGTCATGTTCGCGGTCTTGGGTGACTTGGTTTCATGTGGCCCGTTTCTCCTCTGCAGGGATCAGAGCTGAGTGGATGGACCACGGGACATTTCACTGATGACGGCTTTGACATCTTCCAGAACTTCCCCGAACTTAATAGTATCCTGTGGGATGCTGATGATAAGGGCCTTGTGCCAAAACTCACTCCCAATCACCACGTGCCCATACCCGACAACTACGAGACCAACAGCTCGGTATGGGACCCTGTTTGTGTCTTACAACCAGCTTATTATAAAATCTGAGGACAAAAGACCTCCAGTTTAGGGTTGTTGTTTTATCACCACCAAATGCACTTCTTGTAACCTCTCCTCATATTTTTTTAATTGCCAGTGGATGTAAAATATAATTGTATTTTTAAAAAGGTGGTTGAGGTTTACTCTTAAAGCTAAACACAGTGTCTACTCTGCTTACATCGGTCTTCTTGTCTTTATTCCAGTTTGCTGTGGAAACCAAAGCGGTAATCTCCTGGATGAATAGCTATCCATTTGTGTTAGGTGCAAACTTCCAGGGTGGGGAGTCAATTGTAGCCTACCCTTATGACAGCTTACGTCTCAACAAGCCTGCAGAGAGACAGAAACCCCACAGCCGCAAGAAGAGACAGTATGACTTTTCCTCACCCTTAACCAATGCGTTCTGACGTTGTCTTTCCTTCTTTGCACACATTTATGTCCTAAACTCTTTATTTGTCATGCTATCTCCTGCATATAACTCTTCATGAACATCTCACATTCACCATAAAGTTAAATAGTTCAACTAGAGTCATTTCTTACAGGTATGAAGAGGAAGGTTTTGATGGGACAGAGTGGGGAAGGGGCTACCACACAGAGCCGGAGGAAGACTGGGGATCAAGAGGACATTCAGAGCCAGAAGAGGAGGAGAGGGGATACGACCACAACCAAGGTTACGAACATGGCTACGATCGAAACCAAGGATATGACCGTGGGTATGAACACAACCAGGGATACGACCGTGGATACGACCATGGATACGACCGTGGATACGACCGAAACCAAGGATACGAACATGGCTACGACCAAAACCAAGGTTACGACCAAAACCAAGGTTACGAACAAAACCAAGGTTATGAGAGAAGAGAGGAGGAAGAGGATGATCGAGGAAGAGGTGCCGGTAACCAGTACGGGGAGCCTGAAGATGAGCCTCGGATGATCCCAGACGAGTCCCTCTTCAGGTGGCTGGCTGTCTCCTACGCCTCCACTCACCTGACCATGACACACAACTACCAGGGCTCCTGCCACGGAGACAACGCCGCAGGGACGCACGGCATCGTCAACCGGGCCAAATGGAAGCCAATCAAAGGAAGTAAGTAAATGCCAGCAGTAGAGGAGGAAATACTCAGATTTGTTTTACCAAAGTTAAAGTAGCAATGACAGTGAAGACAAATCAATTGAAAGTCCTGTATTCAAAATATGTAAAGTACTAATTCTGCCCAATGGCCCATTTCAGAATAATACATATTATATTATTGGATTATTGAACTATTGCATTATATGTATGCATTACTTTATTTTTCCAAGTTGGTAAAGAGGGAACTCATCTTTTAGAATTTAGCTTGGGATTATCTGGCCTACAGTATATACCTGATCAATTATGTTGATTATATTTTTGTATTTTTAATGTGAATCTGCTTCTTAAAAGTAACTCATAAAATGTGTTGGAGTAATAAGTGCAATATTTGCCTCTGATTTGTAGTGAAGTAGAAATGTAAGTAGCAGCAAATGAAGTTTAGTACAATTTTGGAATACTCTACTTAAGTTTACTACTAAGTACATGTATTGTGTCTTTCAACCACAAGAGGTCAGTAGGTTTATCCAATGTTTTTTGCTAGTGTTTTAGCTATCTCCATGCATTTTTAACACACCCTGCTGGACAACATGTGCTGTGCAGGATCTGGTTTTCAGTTTGTGTGTGTTTTCACCTCTCTAGGTATGAATGATTTCAGCTACCTGCACACCAATTGCTTTGAGCTTTCTATATTCCTGGGATGTGATAAGTTCCCTCATCAGAATGAGTTGGTGTATGAGTGGGAGAAGAACAGAGAAGCAATGCTCATCTTCATGGAGCAGGTCAGTCACACACACTCTCACACCATCATAATGACTTCCTGAATTAAGATTGTCCTCAACTAAAAGGTGTATGGTTTCCTTGACAGATCAACTTTATATTTGCATTACATCTCTCAGTGTAATGTTTGTATATTGACCCATTGGTGATTATTGTACACTCTTATAAAATAAAATATATAATGACAAAAAACAAACAGGTATTTAGAAAATATTCAATCATGGCAACATCAGAAGTAGTGATCTCATCCCCTTTAAAATACTCCCCCTCTCAATCTAGGTGCACCGTGGTATCCGAGGCATTGTGAAGGATCAGCAGGGGAACCCCATTTCGAACGCCACTGTGTCTGTAGAGGGAGTAAACCATGATGTCACGACAGGTATCCTGAAAGACTTCCTCTTCTTGCATCTCTCTGCATACGTTTTAACCTCATTTCTTAAAACAAAATGGCTCTCTTTGTTATTGTAGCCCAAACAGGGGATTACTGGCGGCTGCTCAACCCGGGGGAGTACCGCGTGACGGCTCGAGCTGAGGGATACTCCCCTGTGACTAAACTCTGTGTGGTGGGGTATCAGTCAGGGGCAACCGGCTGCAGCTTCAACCTGGCCAAGTCCAACTGGGACCGCATCAAACAGGTAAGGCACTACCATCATACAAGTCACGTGCATTGTTTTTACTTTTAAGAACCATAATTCACAGCATAAACAAACATTTTTGTAACTTACTATCAAGGAAAACTGAAATTCAATGGAATGTTCATCAGACTGCAGTAGCTCAGTCTGTAAGGACTTGGCTTGGAGTGTTGACTGGTACTTTGGGAGGTGCCAGTTCATCTCCTAGGTGTTGCCGAGCTGCCTTTGAGCAAGGCACCTGACCCCCACACTTCTCCCCAGGCGCTGTATAATGTGAAATGATTAAAGGATTTGAATTGAATACTTTATTCCCGTTTCTAATACAAAAATGACCAAAAACAATGCTTACATTATCTCAAAGTCAGCATCAAGTTAGTGTCTCACTCTCACTAAAGCCAATCTCAAAGTCGTTTTAAATGTTTTCAAGACTGTTAGTCCAAAGCTTATTTTGGACTTGCATGGGTTACAAATGTGTAGCTTTATGTGACTCACACTAAACAACTTCCACACCAATGACATGTTTGCGTGTGTGGGGCTGTGACTTTACCATCTCTGCTGCTGTGTGTAAAACCAGTACATCTCTACCTTAAATCCTTATTAAGAAAGTGTATTTCTTATTTCTCTGCAGATCATGGCCCTCAATGGCAACAAGCCCATTCGACTCAGCTATGGCAACAACAAAGTGCAGTCACCGGCAGTTGGGAGTGGCAACAGACGTTTTGTAAACGGCAACAATGGGGCTACAGCGAACTCGGGAGTCATCGCCGAGCGGCGGAAGAGGCTCAGGATAGCTCGCATCCGTCGCCTTCGTCAACAGAGATTACTGAAGTTAAGACCCCCGACGACGTTACCCCCGACAACAACCACAATTCCCACAACGCCAGAGACAACCACTTTCTGGTACGACTCCTGGACCGTAGGGGAGGGACAGTCCTCCACGCTTGGCGGATTCACAGACTCCATCCTGGACTATAACTATGAATACAAGATCGATGACTATTAATCTTACACACACACACACAATTCAGTAAATATGCATCTTTCCTCTCCTTCAAGTAGTTCTAATTGCCATGTTGTACTTTGAGCAGGCTGATCAACGAGGAATCCTGTCTTTGTGACAGACAAGCAATGGGAAGGCACAGAATATTAACTACAGTAATTGTATAAAGATAGTGTATCTATAACAGAACGCCTCTTCACAGATATTGTTATAGCATTTCCGTTTTCAGTTCACACTGCATTCTTCTAACTTGTTAGTCTTTTTGCTTCATGAAAAGATGTTTATTGTAGATGCACATTAAAAAAGTCTTGTTTTTTTTTTACTTCAGAGTTATTTACACATATTTTTACAGTATGAACAGTCACGAAAGGGTTCAAAAAGCTTACAGCGATTCAGAGGAGGGAAAGGGTCTTTTGTCATGTTGCCTCAGACGCAGCAATGAAGTAGTTATTTTTCAAATAAAGGTTTGTTACTGTAATACACAATGCCTATTCTGTCTTTTTTTGCGCATTTGTAAACACGTATTTGAGTGTAGCATTCTGGGATATCAGTGCTTTTATATCTTTATTTTAAAACTACAAACGAGTATTATGGCCAATTGAGAAAAAGTGTTTGAGTTGTGACTTTAAATGTACTCAAAGTCATTATTTAAGATGTGGCTGGGCCCTTATCCCTTCTGGAAAAACAACACACCTTGACAACAGTAACTTTAACAGCAATTTGTTGGCCATTATGACACTGGACAGCATCAGTGTAGCAAGGACTGTAGTTCATGTCTCAATGTTGCTGTGACTCCGCTGTGACTCTGCTGTGGTCATAAGAATTTAGTTTGAGTGTTCATCAATAGCGTCCTAGAAGTGTTGATCTGTATGTGGATATTATGGACACTCAGTGGCTGACGTTCATCTCACTGTCCTCATCCTCGTCCGCGGAGAAGGCAGAGAAGCTGATTGGCTCACATGTCAGAGTACGTAAATTCACCAGGCATGCTGTTTGGGTGCTGTTGAAGTCTGGAATAGTAACCAGAAGGCATTCTTGGCCATCAGGACCTGGCAAGAAGAGAAGAAGAAAAAATATATTGGCATATGAGACAGTTCATGTGCACAATATAGCCAAAATAATGTCAATATTTTAATATTTAGAGTCTAAGGACAGACCATAATGTGATCACTCACCTTTAACGAGCTTAGACTGAAAGGTTGGGGCCATGCCACTGAAGTAAACATGGGGACACTCTTCCAAGATGAAAGGGTCTTTTTGGTAAAATGGGTAACAACCTGGAAGAAAATGTACAGAAGACATTGTGAGTACTGCAAACAGGTATAACCCAGAAGGTTTGCGTTTGTTTTGCATCAACTTGTGTGACTAACCCAGAGTATCGGGTGCTGTTGGCGCCAGGTGTCTGAGTCGCAGCGTGTCCTCCAGTATTTCCAGGTGATCGTCCATGCTGCTGTACCTCTGAATGTCACAGACATTCTGGCCGGATGTGCCCAGGAACCTTGGAGGAAACACAAAAACATGGCTTTTAACATATTCAAACTTGCTTAGGGTTCAAGACCAAATCTGTTGAGGAAACTATTTTTCCGAGGCCCATAACTTTGACCCAGTTTATAATGTTCTACTCCCCTGGCTGAGCACAGGGTCTCTGCACTCTGTGTTTTGTCTCCCTATCAGAATCAGAAACAGGTTTATTGCCAGGTAGGTTCACACATACTAGGAATTTGACTTGATGTCATGGTGCATACATAAAATATAAAAAACAAGAAATCTAATATAAAACACAAAATATTTTTTACACCGTAATAAAATACAGTTAAATAGCAATAAGATAAATAATGCAGTAGTTTGCATGGAAATCGAATGCTATGAATGCATTTTTGCATAAACTAAGAAATGTGAAATCAGAATATGTGCAGAAAGGAGTAGGAACATTGTGTGCATGAATGTAATGCATATAGTCTATAATGTGGCAGAGGTAAAGTATCAGCGGGGGGGCCGGGCCTTGTTTAAGAGGCCGGTAGCGGAGGGGAAGAAACTGTTCAGGTGGCGTGAGGTTTTGGTCCCGATGGAGCGCAGCCTCCTGCTAGAGGGGAGGGGGGCGAACAGTTCGTGTCCGGGGTGGGAGGGGTCGGCCACTATCTTCCCTGCCCGCCTCAGGGTCCTGGAGGCATGCAGGTCATGGAGGGGTGGCAGATTGCAGCCGATCACCTTCTCTGCTGAGCGGATGACACGCTGCAGCCGGCCCTTATCCTTGTCTGTGGCTGCAGCGTACCAGATGGTGATGGAGGAGGTGAGGATGGACTCGATGATGGAGGTGTAGAAGTTCACCATCATCGTCTTTGGCAGGTTGAATTTCTTCAGCTGCCTCAGGAAGAACATCCTCTGCTGGGCTTTTTTGATGAGGGAGCAGATGTTCTGCTCCCATTTGAGGTCCTGGGCGATGATGGTGCCCAGGAAGCGGAAAGACTTCACAGCAGTGACTGGGGAGTCACACAGAGTGATGGGGAGTCACACAGAGTGATGGTGAGCCACACAGAGTGATGGGGGCGGGTGGGGCTGCGTTCTTCCTGAAGTCCACGACCATCTCCACTGTCTTGAGAGCGTTTAGCTCCAGGTGGTTTTCTCCACACCAGGTCACCACCAGATGGTCCATCTCCCACCTGTAGGCAGACTCGTCCCCACCAGAGATGAGTCCGATGAGCGTGGTGTCATCTGCGAACTTCAGGAGCTTGACAGACTGGTGACTGGAGGTGCAGCTGTTGGTGTACAGGGAGAAGAGCAGGGGTGAAAGGACGCAGCCTTGAGGGGAACCGGTGCTGATGGTCCGGGTGTCAGAGACGTGTTTCCCCAGCCTCACGTGCTGCTTCCTGTCAGACAGGAAGTCTGTGATCCACCTGCAGGTGGAGTCGGGCACGTGCAGCTGGGAGAGCTTGTCCTGCAGCAGAGCCGGGATGATGGTGTTGAAGGCGGAGCTGAAGTCCACAAACAGGATCCTGACGTAGTTTCCTGGTGTGTCCAGGTGCTGGAGGAGGAAGTGAAGGGCCATGTTGACAGCGTCGTCCACAGACCTGTTGGCTCTGTAGGCGAACTGCAGGGGGTCCAGGAGTGGGTCTGTGATGGATTTCAGGTGGGACAAGGCGCTCAAAGGACTTCATAACCACAGAGGTCAGGGCGACGGGTCTGTAGTCTTTTCCCAAAATCGGACTGGTGTGTCCGGGCCTTAATAGTGATTTGTTTGTTGTGTCTTGTCGTGCAGAATGTTGTTTATTCTCTTAGAACTAGCTAAATATATGGAATAATGTCAATTCTCCGGACGTAACTTCAAATGAATCTTCAGTGTTTGCCATCAAGTTCCAGCTCTCCTGTGTTCTCATTTTGTTCTACTCCTTGCTCCAGAAGTTTCCATTACAATCCTATCCTCTGCTCGTGACTATATTATTTTATAATAAGTGCTGAACAGTGGACTTTATTTATGTCGATTTTAGTGGTTCATATGTGTTTTTAATAGTTAAAGAAACGTGTTGATTTAGGAATGTTTGTATGTATGTACTGTATGGTATTGCTTACCTAACTCCATCAATGTGAGATTGGTGTGGATTGGTGACCAGCTGCAGCGTGGGGTACACGGAGGACAGGGGGAACATGCAGCGGTGGAGGGCCTGCTGAGGGAGGGTGAAGTTGGTGGGGTCGTACTGGCCCGGCATGACATCCACTGGAACTGAGGCCTATAACAGCAGGAGGCAGTGACAATATAGTTATATCATCACTTTTTTCAGATGAAAACCCTTTGTAAGAGATTCAATAAGTAACTGTAACGGATAGGAACTTAACTTGTTATCTAATTACATTACTCCACAACATGTAACAAGCTACTGTAGAGGGGGGGGCAGACTCACCACCAGCTGAAGCAGCATCTCATCCAGCAGACGAATGGCCTCCACGCTGCCAGCCTGAGTCTTCTTAGTGAGGTATTTAGGCTTAACACACAGAGGATTAAACATGTTTTTAAATGTTAATAATGAGAGCCAGTTCATGTTTGCTTCTTTAGAACTAATTAAACATATTTTTGAGAATAATTGTGTGTCAAACAGTTACCTTGGTCGCCGCGTCAGCATCCTGGGTGTTTTGGCTCAGCAGGTTTCCAACCAGTAATACTCTAGAAATTGTCGCTGCGCCGCTCTGCTCCCCCTGGTCACCCAGCTGACCAGTTACCATGTCAACCAGCAGCTGCAGCCCCAGCATGCTGTCAGCGTGAGTACTGCCGAGCCCGAGTCCTGAGACCAGGAGCACAAACCTGGATGAGGACAGAAGCTGCATTAGAACGTATTATCACTAAAGGCAGGGATATATGGTGTGTATATGTATTTGTGTGTTTACCTGTCGGAGCTCAGTGTAGGTCTTGGTGATTGTGGAGGAAGATCAGCCATGCAAAAGTCCTCAACAGTGAACTTCCCATCATTCTTTTCGGCTCCATATATTGCAATAACACTACCTGTAAGAGAAACAGAAGAGAAGCCATTACATAGAGGACAGCTGTACACAGCTGAGCGATGAAACCCTGTAATCCTATATTCTAAATTCACATTACAAGCAACTGCGTCCCGAATCCAATTTCTTTAGCTTTCATGTGACACAGATCTGTATGAGTGTGGACTGTGGACACTCACACATACATCCTATTTTCCTCTTACCTGTGACACACTTGTCTCTGTAAATGTTGCCCTCCAGTTTGATCCTCTGTAGCTCATCCTCCAGAATCAGCTCATCCGTCTCACTGATGAATTTGACTCTTGCAGGCTGAGGCAACAGGTTGTGCTGAAGGGAAGAGGAAAACAATGATACATGACACCTGCCAGAAAATTAGTTCATTTTGTCAGGGATTTAGGGGGTCAAGCTGGTGAATGTTCCTTGACTGCTGACCTCCTCACTGATCTCTTTCAGAATGGATGGCTGCAAATCCATACGCTTGAACAAAGTCCCCACAATGCAACACTGCTCCCCTGTCTGAAGATCACACAGTTTCCTAATAAGCACATCTGATCCTGGCAGCAACAAAAAGACACACATAGATAAGAAAAATTAATTCAGATGCTTGGGTCCAAAATGTAGGTCAAATATGTGCCAAGCTCACCCCACTTCTGCTTGGCTCTCTCTGACAACAAGGGTCTCATCTGCATGAGTCGTGCTGCGTAGATATGAGCATACTGGCGACTGAAGCTCCTCTCCCCGACCGTGTATCGCTCGGAGCATGGACTGTAGGCCAGAGACATCCTGTCAAACACCGGGCCCTGGTCCTCGGAGGGCCGGCAGAGCAGAGAGGAGCCCTCCTTCTGGGCGCTCAGGTCGGAAAACATGACTGTCCTGAAGCAGAGGCGAAGGAGAGGTTAGTAGAAACCTGTCTGCTGTGTTACATCCAAACTTCATGAATACCGTGCACGTTTAAAGTCGTTTTAAAAGGCTAGCAGCTCAATTCAAAACAGCGTTAATGACAATAGTGCTCTTCCAAAACATGCCCACTGTTTTGAGAATATCAATAATAATGTCACAGATGTAACGACCTTACCTTAGTACAGGCAACGCAAGGCTTCAGCTGGTATCCGTGTTGAATCAGGTTGTATGTTTTGTAGTCAGATATCAGTCATTTCATCCCGAGCAAAGGAAACAATTCCCGCGAAATCACCCGCTCAACATTACTGTTTTTTCAAGATGACCGCAAAGTCTCGCGAGAAAACATGGGATGTGGTATAACAAGTCTACAAACATAGAAAACTAAAGTAACGTAACGTTAACTTGAACATAAATGAACTGCATCACGTTTAAGAAGCAGTCTAACATATAATCAGCATACTATTTCATAAAGGGGCATTTTATAAAGATCGAGAGTAGTACATTTAGTTTTTTTTACAACGTCGCACCCAATATACGTCACACATTTAAAAACAAGTGTCGCGCTGTGTTGAGCTCACAAAAGCAGCCGTCTCCTCGCCATTTTTTCGCAGCTCTTTGTGCGCCACTCTGCTTTAAGAGTTTGCGTGTTTTTTGACGAGCGATTCGTCGACTCTGGTTTTAATTCTTTAATAGACAAAATGCAAGGAAACAGAGGCCACCCCCAGCACAACCACGGGTCTAACCGCCCGGTGGAGCAGAAGAACACCAACGGCCAGCAGCCCGAGGATCCTAGCAACGAGGCCTTAACCCTGGACCTGCAGAACTTCAGGAAACCCGGGGAGAAAACCTTCACCCAGCGGAGCAGGCTGTTCGTAGGAAACCTGCCCACCGGGACATCTGAGGAGGAACTGGAGAAGCTATTCGCCAAGTACGGCAAGGCCAATGAAATCTTTATCAACAAGGAGAGAGGCTTCGGCTTCATCCGGCTGGAGACCAGGATCATAGCAGAGATAGCCAGAGCAGAGCTGGATGATACCCCGTTCAAAGGCAGGCCGGTCAGGGTGAGATTTGCCACACACGGTGCAGCCTTAACTGTGAAAAATCTGCCAGATTTTGTGTCCAACGAGCTGCTGGAGGAGGCCTTCGCTGGCTTTGGCCAGATAGAGAGAGCTGTAGTCATAGTTGATGATCGTGGGAGGCCCACAGGGAAGGGAATAGTGGAGTTCACCTCAAAGCCAGCTGCAAGAAAGGCTTTGGATAAGTGCAGTGATGGTGCCTATCTTCTCACAGCCTTTCCTCGACCCATTACAGTGGAACCCATGGAGCAGCTGGATGAAGAGGAGGGACTGTCAGAAAAAATCATTAACAAAAACCAGCAGTATCACAAAGAGCGTGAGCAGCCACCAAGATTTGCACAGCCGGGCTCCTTCGAGTTCGAGTATGCCATGCGCTGGAAGGCCCTGATGGAGATGGAGAAGCAGCAGTACGAGATGGTGGACCGCAACATGAAGGAGGCTCAGGAGAAGCTGGAGGTTGAGATGGACGCGGCCAGACATGAGCACCAGGTGATGTTGATGAGGCAGGACCTGCTGAGGCGTCAGGAGGAGCTGCGGAGGATGGAGGAGCTCCACAATCAGGAGGTGCTGAAGAGGAAACAGTCTGAGATCCGTCAGGAGGAGGAACACCGGAGGAGAGAGGAGGAGATGAGGATGCGCAGTGAGGAGATGCTGAAGAGGCAGCAGGAGGGCGGCTTCAGAGGCAACTTCCCTGAAAACAGGGAGCAAGAAATCAGGATGCACATGGGCGGTCACGGGATGAACAGAAACTCGCTGGGTGCCAATGCTGGTCCTGCAGGTGCTCCTGCTGAGAATGCTCCAATGATGCCAGGGCAAGGAAACAACATGCCCGGGCCGGGCCAGGGAGGCTTCCCCAGGGGTCCCGCCGGGCCTGGAGACTATGGACCCAACAAGCAACGCAGATTTTGAATAATATGCTTAAAATCCTTTTTCATACTCGCTGTATTTTAAAGTTCAGGTAGTGAGGGGTTACTGGTTGAACAGGTGACAGTTGCATGTATTTACCAGCCGCTACAGCGTCTGTTTTTTTTGTTTTAGTTCTTTACCTTTTTTTTGTACCTTTTTTTTTTTTTTTGGGTTATGTCTTTAGTACTAAACTGTCATAACTCTGAATGAGCCATGTGTTTTACTTTTATTTCTCAAATTATTGTATTTTTCATATGGATAGAGAAAGTTTTTTCGTCCTGAAAATGTCGGCTTTTCTGAAATAAATTCATGATTCCCTAAGAATTTAGATTTCTCAATGTTTTTCAAAGCAGCATATAGCTAAAAGTGACTCCATCAAGACACATTTTATCTACATGATGGTCATTTATAGGTGGGGTTGTCTCACACTCAGTTCAGTTGGTGTTCACAGCTGTCAGCTGGATGCCTGGCATTGATTAGAATATTGATTTAATGATGAATGGCCTGAATCACAATTAGAGGGAGCTTATAATGTTAAGGAGATACATTTAGGCATCGTCATTGTTTTTCATGCCCTGGGCATTTTTGAGACTTTGGGCTATTTTTCTTCCATAACATGTCTTCTTTCATACTAGTGAAAAAACTTATCCTAAAATACACATTTATCTGTTTATTTACTTTGTCTTAATTGCTTCTTGAGATTTCTCCATTATTCACCTAAAGTTAGCTCACTTAATACATCATTTGCATAGTTAAACATTTCAGAAAGATCTTTCCGTTTCATGGTGATATCTATTGAATAAATATTTTTACCCTATTCTCCTGTAGTGTCTTTCAAAATGTATTGGTTTGTACATGTACACTTGCCAGGGGTGAGCAAGATAAAACAAGATACATAAGAAAATATATGAATATAATTGTATATTTACATACATAATTATGTTGTAGTATTCTGAATCTGGATCTATTTAATTCATCAAATTCACATAGTGGAGTAAAAAGTTCAATAGTTGCTCCTCGGATGGTGGATTAGAAATAACCAGTAACGTGAAATAAAAAATTAAAGTACCTAAAATATGTACTTCAGTACAGTATTTTACTAAATATACCTAGTTAATGTCCACTACCGACTAGAGTAGATACATTTCATTGATCTTAGCTTGGGAAATTGTTGCAAATAATAAAAAATATGATCAAATTAAAATAAACAAACAGTACATTTATAGATATTAACAGTAACAACAATAATATATAGTATCTATATATGATACAAAATGTACAGAATGTGTTAGGATTACAGGTCTCAATTTTCCCTCACGTAAACGCAAGCTAGAGTTTTCCATACGGCTCTGTGTATTGCTTTTTTCAAAGTTTAAAGGTCTAACTTTATCAATCCTAGCAGAGTATTTAAGTTAAAATATTCATGTATTTAAAGGCATTTTAGCTCGCTACTGGTTCAGATCTCAGTATCGTTCAATGACAGCAGTATTCAAGTTTCATGGAGAAACTCCTCAGTCTGCCAAGATGAAACCCAAACACACGGCATGCAGAGAAAGCCTGGTTTGTAAACAGGGTGTGTGTTAATGGAGGCGGACCGTAACAGCTGGTTGCATAATATCCAAACAGTGTCAGAGTGCATCTGCCAGACGGCCGGGTTATGTCATTATAGTCTTTGGGGTTTTGGTTGAACAAGTGTCCAAACATCTATGCAAAAAGATAAAGAGTTAAGTGAGGGATGGGAAATGAGTCTATTAGAACATTACATCAAATAGCTTATGGAAAGTTTTCATGAATACGTGCAAAAAATATAACACTGAGTTGTATAAAATAAGCTAATATGTCTCCCGTTACAATAAGGAGAATGTTTTCTTTTTACTTAAGGGCTCTCCTATCTACAACTTTATCCTTTAAAAAAGAAATACCTAAAAGACTTAAAATGACAACACAATAAATGTTATAAATCAAGTCAATACATTTAAACTAAAAAGTATGAATGAATGGTTACAAATAGGTTAAAATACAAAGCGTAATAAGTAAACATCCCTCCAAATTGAAAATATATGTATCAGTTATTTGAACATTTAAAGCATAGAGCCAGAGGACTTCAGGGATCTCACTGTAACATAGTACGAAAGATCATCTCTGGGTTGCCTGCAGTGCAGTGTGTTAATCTGCCTCACGCAAAGGTTTTATAAAATGAGATAAGAAAAGATAAACCTTAATCAAATTCAGGTTTCATGGCAACAACAGATATGAAAAAGAAACAGAAGAAAATAGGTAAGACTTCAGAACTAAACCAAGATGAAAAGAGGAAGAATATCAAGCCGGACCCATGAGTGAACGTACAGTCTATCAATAAAGAAATATGGATGTACACATATATGCAATCTATCAATAAATAATCTCAGTCTATCCATAGATATAAAGGATGATGGTCAAGGCCTTTGGATTAAACTAACCTTCACCTGTATCTGAGTCCAGAAAGTCGTGAGCGTCCTGCAGGAGTGAAAGCTGCGTGAATGTTGATCGATAACTGGATCATAAAGAGGGGAAAGTGTGTGTTATCTGGACGAGAGATCTGCAAGGTCTAAAAACTGGATAGATAAGTACTTTTGAAAGATTCCGTACCTCGGATGATAGATGGTATATTGATTGTGAAACTGAGGCCTTTAAACCTGAACCCAAAAACACATCAATGTCATCAGTTATTCCTTATATTTAAAATAATCAATTTGAATAATTATACACGCCTGCATGATTGTGTAAATATATGTCAGACCTTGCAACGTAATATGCCAGTTTACTTGGCAGGATCTTTGTATATAAATAAGTGTTATTTATTTATAATTCTTTAAGGAACAAGTGTCAAACACACGTTTGAGTATATTTTATAAATCTATATATCAATTATATTTAAATCATAGTTCAAATTGTATACAACTACAAAAAAAATACAGCAAATCTACTTGTAAATACACACTGTATTTTAATTTTAGATTACTTACAATGTGCTATTATTTATGATTTTATGTGGCGTTTGGCAAAAGAGGCTGTGTGGATTCAAATTCACAGGAAATAAATAACATTTAACAACACACTTATTTTTAAAGTTAAGCTGTTACAGCGAAGCCCAAAGTCTTGCAAGACAAATTCAAATGTAGCTTCCCGTTTATGGATTTGGGGAATTTCCCAGGAGTAGTTTCTTCCAAAAATGCAGACTTGTGTTGAATTTTTGCAGAAACACTTTACGAATGAAAGTCCCGTGCATGCTCATGTTGAGCTTGGCACTCCTAAATAAAGGATGCCAGTACAGTTCCTCTGAAGGGCAGAGAAAGACGTAAAGTAGTGGGAATAAAGTAATTCAAACATAAATAAACAATATAACAGCGCTGCACAGGTACTGTTAAAAAGAATAAATTGCTTGTAATGTTTGTTAATCAGAATCATAACCTGGTTTATTGCTAAGTAGGATTTCAGTATATAGACATAGGTAGGGGATGATTAAACTGAAACAAATCAAATAAGATAAGATGGACCTTTGTTTAAAGCAGCAACAGAATGAGAATGAAAAACAGGACAGTACAGATTCACACAAGGATAATACAATTAAAAAGAACATTACAAAAACAGAATTGTGTAACAAATATACAGATTTCAACACGGATAGTGAAAAAAAAACACAAAATGTGTACAATATATCTGAATGACATTTAGATTGTTGGTTTACTGGCCAAGTTCCAACATTCTATGTGTTGCCGTGACTTATCAGCACAGTAGAGAACAAAGAACTGCATATCTGCACTTTTTATTCTTGTCCTTTTATCACAACATTTGAATTTTTTATCTCAGCATGACCTTGAAGCATGATAACAACATGATAATAAAGTTGTTTTGATATTGGAGGATGTGATCCAGGAACCGAATAGTCTAATTATATCAATATGAATTTGGCTTGGAAGAATATCCTCCTTGTATTCAGATTTGAAAACTTATTTTGTTTCTTTTTTAAAACATTTTATACAAAAATATATTTAAAAAACAGTCTCTTGTAAGGAAGTGTTTATTGGAAATGGGTAGATAAGCTCTCTCTCTGCAGTTTATCTGACAGCAGTGCAACTGGGATGAGGGTCTAAAGGTCACGTTCAGTGAACAGATTGATCTGAATCAGTCCGACTAATGTTTCTACAGAAACACCCAAAGTTGCTGTAAAAATAAATGATTGGAGGTATATGTACGCTGGGTGTGGTTGTTTCTTCCTCTTCGCCTGTAGTTTCTACTTGCTGCTTGGGATCACCCCAGCAACCCTATCGAAATCCCACCCATGTTACGTATCATGAAGAGGAATTTGATCATCCATAGCTGCGATTGGTCAGCCGTGGCATCACACCAGATAAGATAGGTGTGACATCACAGGAGTGGGGACTCAGTACATGTTGTTTCACCTTCCCCAACCTGTCAGACGGACAGACGGACTAAAGGAGAGGCTGTCTCCCACTCTCTTTCTTTGTCTAATGTATCTTCAGGTAGGGCAGCAGTGATCAATAAACACTCCCTTACACTCTGTACCTGAGGAGCCTTCTTTACCTGCTGCTGGAAAACTCAGGAATCATGAACCGTGTCGCAGCCCTCATCACTTTTCTCACCTTTATGGTAAGTTGGTCGGGAAACTTTTCTTTTGGAATTGGTACTTCTACTGTACACTTGTTTCAGTCCACTATGGAAGAGGGCCAGACATAAGGGGGGGAGGGGGAAATGAGGGGAGAAGTTTGCTTTCAGCATTTGGAGGATAAAGTCCAGTATTTTCCACTGTGGCCAGTCATTTGATTTATTCTCCAATGTTCACTGTTTACTCTTCGCAACTCAAATGTACTGTAGTCTCAAAATGGCATTTCAACATAATTCTTAACATTTCAAGTTTACATTTAGACGTTATGCTTAAATTCAAAGAGAAATAATGTTCCTTCTCTGATCAAAATGTTAATCTGAGATTTCAACTCTTTTCTCAACATTGCTAATTTATGCTGAAGATGCAAAAAAAAAAGTCCTCCTCTTAGGTTAGGATATGATATGTGACCAGGATTGTACATTTGAGAAACACAAGTAATTTATCTTCTAATTAAGACACTTAACCAATATAAACACTACCACGCACAAGGAAGTGTTTTATTCAACTATTATTTAGATGCAGGCAATCATAAAATGACTAGCGCTTAATGTGGTAAACAGTAAAACACAATAAAAGACAAAACAAAACTGATGTTTAATCGTTTGTCAAATCTTTGCACCCAACGCAAAGGTTAGATAAATGTTATTTAAGGCAGCAAAGGCCTAGTAAGTCTTTACAATATTTAGCCTAATGCTAAACTAAAATAAACACAATAGATATTGTGATGTGTTTTTATTTTGGTATTTAAAATCTTCCATACACCTGAAAGTGCTATTGAAATAGAAGCATAACACATATATAACATTAAGTAATCTAATATAGACCCCGTGGAAATCTTCTTAAGATGAATGCATTTCTCCATAAAAGATGGAGTATATTTCAACAAATGACATGGTCTCCATTGAGTCACAATGAGACACTATTTACACAATGAGTACGTTTTGACTTTATAACTAGTTTATTGTTTCATACACAAGTTAGGTTTGTATGTGTAATGTATTCATAAGGCCCATCATTCTCCAAATACACCTTTAAAAAAGAAAAACCGTTGTGTCAAGGTGAAAAAGATCAAGTTAAAATGCGGACCTTTAGAAAGGTTTTTAAAGAGGTCCATATGGATAAGTAATTCATCATTTTACCTGTGTAAGTCG